TCAGCAGTCTATAGAAATGGAATCATATGCTTAAGAATAGATATATATGAATTCATTTTTTTTTTCTAATTCCATCAAACATACACAATTATAACTTAGATATTAAGCATAATGTGTAAAGCTGCTTTAAAAATCTAGCAGATAAAGGCAACCCAGCAGTCAAGATATTACATAAACATGGGATTTGAACGTGCCTTAATGCCTTCAATTTACAGCCACTATATGTGCACTACAGGACAACTAGAGGAAAAATAATTGTCCTGTTTTGTCAGATTGGGCGCACAGATGAATAAAGCATAATCATGCACAAAGTTACAAACCTTCCACACAATGGAGAAAATAGCAGGCACATATATGTTTTCATTTTTTATTCCAAAAACTTCAAAATAGGTTTCAAGTTCAAGAAAGTAGAATAAGCTTAAACACAATGCAAAGCATCATATACAGACAGATAAAATACATTTGATATATTGCAGACAAGCCATGTTGGGTATTACATATTTACAATATGTAACCTTCTATATACAATCTTTTTTTTTTTTTTTTTACATTTACAAAAAAGCCTTTGTCTCTATTTTGTCTTTGTATATATATATTTTATATATATATATTTTATAATCCCCACTAGCATTTGTACTACAATAATGAAAAACATTTACAGATCTGTCAATACACTTTCTCTTTTTTTATATTACAAATTTATTTCCATAAAAATATATCTCTGTACAAAAAAAAGTTTCTATTCATTAGTTCTCCTTTCAGCGTCAGAGTCTCTGTCTGGATATCCGCAACGGACCGCTCCATTAAGGTCCTTGAAAGTTTGAAAGTCACTGTTCAAAAAAATCCTTTTGGTCAAGAATGTAACTCAAGACTGACTGTATTCCTTTAGGCTTTGGATAGCCAGAGCAGAGCAGTCCTTTAAAAGTCCTTCAAGGCTGGGCTCGTACCTCTTACCGACTGGAGAGAAATGCATGGTTGTGGTTTTCAAAATGAGAAAAAAAAAAAGTACATACCGAGATATTTTCACATTGACCTCCACACAAAACTGATATGTTCATCCTGTAGTACATTTTCATATACTTATTCAATATAAGCTGCAGTGTGCAATTCAAATATACTGATATGCAGTCTTTTAGGGGTGCTGTTTTTCCGATAAGTTTTTAAAAAAAGGAACATGACTGGTTTAGTTCCGCAGTTTGTTGGATGTTCACCATATGTATAGCAGTATAGCATAGATATTTCCAAAATTAAAAATACATTCAGTGCAGTCCCAATATTGTCTACATCCAAACTTCTCGTCTTTTTTTGAAGCCTGATAAATGAGACAAAAACATTGACACTACAATGTAGTCCTGACATGATCATCCAAGTTTTCGCAATTATCTTTGCTTCAAGCTCACTGTCACATCATGCCAACAAAACCTATGACGAAAAGGGTTGCTATATACTCATCACAAATATCCAAAGGTAATATTTGAGAATGTAAATTAACTGAGGTGCGGGTCTCCATTTGAACGAATGTATGTGTGATTCTGTCAGGATGAGTATAAATTATACGGAGGGCTGCCAGGCAGAGTTCTTCACATCAGTACAATGACGACACGGTTACAGACTTGAACGCCAACAAGAATGTGCTGGGTGTTTCAGCTAATTCACAGTTAGCATTGCTAAATGCTATCAATAATATCATAAATGCTGTAATGCTTTTGATTTTGGCTGGATGTCTCTCTATATATGTATATAAAATAGGCTGATGCCTTTTACTTTGGCATAGCAGCACCGTAGGTTTTGTGACGTGAATAATAATCACAATATAATAATACTCTCATGACACATGCTAGCATGAAGGCCAAAGAAAAGAGTGTTTACTTGCTCCCTTAAAGTGCAGGTTCTAACCTAAAGGAATTTGTGAAGATATAAATTAATGACATGTTTTGGGGTGCTGGTTATTATTTTTGTGTTTGTGTGATTCTCTTAAGCTGAGAATAACAAAGACTTGACTCTCAACCAGGAAATTCCCTCCTAGCAACTGGCAACTCTTGACCAGTGTGCAATAATAATAAAAATGGAGCAATAAGAAGAGATTGGATACACCACATAGAGAGTTACCAAGGCACTGTTACGAGAAACAGATGGACAAGCATGAAACACAGGCTGTTTGGATACTTCAATAACATTTTGGGTTAATATACACATAACGATGAAAAATAAAGCAGAGATGATGACTTTGAAGCCCTTTGTGCCTTGAATTTTTGTGTGTTATCGCTAGCAAAGTGCTTTTATTTTAAAGGAGCTATTTTTAATGTCAGCATTATAAATCTGGCAGCATTGCTATTGTTGGGTTGCTGAGACGTAACACGTAACTGTAAGAATGTAAAACACCAAGTGAATGTGAGAGAAACTTCAACACAATGAAATCTGATATGTGGAAAACGCTTTAAGATTCCATCTACACTGAAATTCTCCTAAAAAGAACGGCCATAAGACAGTCTTGTTAATGTCAATAGTTTGAACATAATGTACCTGCTAAACTCCTTGCCCATAAAATCCCAAGGGAAATGCAATCTTTGCTTTTTCGATCAACTTACAATTGAAACAAGCTCTGGGTAATATCATATTAACACAACCATGATAGGCTACCGATTTCAAAAGTAATAAACCTGTAAAAGCAATTATATCAGTGATTGATTTCAGAAGCTGAAGACTACAGCAAATAAACCGGAGGAATTTAAATGCCCACTGGAAAGTAAATGCCGGCATCAGGTAACAGAGGTCGCAAGACAAGAAAATCGAACCGAATGATGCAGAAACAAGCAGAGGCAATAATATTCAATAACTGAATTACAAATCTCAATAACACCGGACAGTTAAAGGATGCTGCACCCAGAATATAGTGTACTTTCGCGACAAAATGTAAGTTATTCAGTTGCAAACTTCCCAAGCTGTTGCTCATCTTCAAACCTTCCTGTCAAGTTATTGGGGCAAATGCATGCAAATAAACCACCAGCCTTGGATTAGTATTTTAAGGAGTGATTTCTAAGCCCCTTTTTCTTATCGTAAGTGTGGCGTGGGCATGGATGACATGGAGGAATGTGCAGGGAAACAGATTATGACACAAAGCTACAGAGATTAAATATTTTCATGCTCATTTGGTGTTGGCTCCTTTTGACTAAAACCCTCACGTCATCCTTATCCTTGACTTCAGAACTTGAGGACCGAAAGTAGACCCAAAAAAACACATCTCAAGTTAGATTTACCTCTGTACTTCAACTCTTCAAGGGCTGTGTTGCTTTTTTTAATCTATGTATGCAAACCATTGGATCCTGTCATTCAATGATATCCGAAGAACTATAAATGCTAACAAACGGTTCTTCGCTATGATATCCCAGCCCACAGACCAAGACCATCCAACTCCGAACATCCAAACACACAAGGAGGGGGTTCAGATTGGGTAATTCAGTCAGGATCATGATAAGATGGTGGGAGAACACTCGTTCCTTCAGGCTGAAATGAGAAGAGAGGTGCTACAGCTAGAATCCATGTCTTCTAATCAGCCTCAGAAGCCTCCACTTCAGATCGAGTTGTGGCGTTACATACTCAGGGAACTGATGGGGAAGGTGTCAGAGAGTGTGTCCTCAGTGAAGTCTGCACTTGTGATTTTAGTTCAAGGTGGAAACGGGATAAAACAAGCCAAAACGCACTCCATGGACAGAACTCAAGATACAAAAGTAAAACAAAGCTTCAACTCTCCAGCAACATGCTTCTTGTGACTTCCTGCTCACATGAAGACTTCCTCCAACTCAAGAGTGAGAATTCGGCCTTCATTTGACCGAACAATGTATCTCTTGTCTTTTTTTTGGCAAGCGACGGCTGTGAGCTTCACATGTGTCCCTTTGCGCTGCCACAGTCAAATAGGATGTTCCATCGGAAGGAAAAAAGAGGAGACAGCAGAAGAGTGTAGGAACAGAGCTTTAGCTAGCAAACACTGACGTGGGTCTTTATCAGTGCATCTCTGTTGATGCGCTTTGACAGCATCGTTGTCAAGGTTTATCACTTTGCCACAATTGGAACTTGTTTACAAATGAAAAACAAAAAAAAACATCCTCCTCTTTAGTCCATCCATGTGGCCCATTCGTAACTATGGGAACGGTTGCATGGAGAGGGAACGATTATATCCAGCCTATGAAAAGAACAGAGAAGACACGTTTGTCAGCAGTTTTGAAGAAACCACTTTGAGATTTCTCAGGCTACTCATTATTTAAACTAGTTAAACTACTGTCAAAGTAGCTACACTACAAGTTACTAAAAAGTGGCTAACTACATTGAAGCCATTTACTGTAAAGTCACATTTACCACTGTTCTGTGAATTTTCACGTGCAAAATCCAGTCATTTCAATAGGAATCGATGTGATCAGGAATTTCGAGTTAGAGCTAAATAATTCTTAACATTGATTTTGCAATGGGTTCAAGTCAGTCACGTGGATTTGGTGAGTTGACCAACGGAAAGCTGCTTGGTATGTAAGTGACTTCTGTGTGAGCTGTGCTTCATATATTGGTACACTACTGATAAAACCCTCACGTCAACCTTATCCTTGACTTCAGAACTTGAGGACCGAAAGTAGACCCAAAAAAACACATCTCAAGTTAGATTTACCTCTGTACTTCAACTCTTCAAGGGCTGTGTTGCTTTTTTTAATCTATGTATGCAAACCATTGGATCCTGTCATTCAATGATATCCGAAGAACTATAAATGCTAACAAACGGTTCTTCGCTATGATATCCCAGCCCACAGACCAAGACCATCCAACTCCGAACATCCAAACACACAAGGAGGGGGTTCAGATTGGGTAATTCAGTCAGGATCATGATAAGATGGTGGGAGAACACTCGTTCCTTCAGGCTGAAATGAGAAGAGAGGTGCTACAACTAGAATCCATGTCTTCTAATCAGCCTCAGAAGCCTCCACTTCATATCGAGTTGTGGGGTTACATACTCAGGGAACTGATGGGGAAGGTGTCAGAGAGTGTGTCCTCAGTGAAGTCTGCACTTGTGATTTTAGTTCAAGGTGGAAACGGGATAAAACAAGCCAAAACGCACTCCATGGACAGAACTCAAGATACAAAAGTAAAACAAAGCTTCAACTCTCCAGCAACATGCTTCTTGTGACTTCCTGCTCACATGAAGACTTCCTCCAACTCAAGAGTGAGAATTCGGCCTTCATTTGACCGAACAATGTATCTCTTGTCTTTTTTTTGGCAAGCGACGGCTGTGAGCTTCACATGTGTCCCTTTGCGCTGCCACAGTCAAATAGGATGTTCCATCGGAAGGAAAAAAGAGGAGACAGCAGAAGAGTGTAGGAACAGAGCTTTAGCTAGCAAACACTGACGTGGTTCTTTATCAGTGCATCTCTGTTGATGCGCTTTGACAGCATCGTTGTCAAGGTTTATCACTTTGCCACAATTGGAACTTGTTTACAAATGAAAAACAAAAAAAAACATCCTCCTCTTTAGTCCATCCATGTGGCCCATTCTTACTATGGGAACAGTTGTGTGGAGAGGGTAAGATTATATGCAGGCCTATGAAAAGAGAAGAGAAAAGACACGTTTGTCAGCAGTCTTGAAGAAACTACTTTGAGATTTCTCAAGCTACTCATTATTTAAACTAGTTAAACTACTAAGTAGCTACACTAGAAGATACTAAAAACTAGCTAGCTACATTGAAGCCATTTACTGTAAAGTCACATTTACCGCTGTTCTGTAAATTTTCACATGCAAAATCCATTCATTTAAATTCTTAACACAATTGTTGTAATGGGTTCAAGTCAGTTGCGTGGATTTGCTGAGTCGACCAATGGAAAGCTGCTGGGTATGAAAGTGACTTCTTTCAGTGACTTCTTCATATATTGGTACACTATTGACAACTATTGACTACAGAAGATGTAACTTTTGGCCCTCACAATTTTGCCAAAATATCGCTAATATGACCACACCTTAAGAGGACATTTTGTAATGTCTAATAAAAATATTTTGTAATTAGCAGTATATTTCTGGTACAAAATCAAGGACCTTAACATTAAAAAGGATTTGGACAGATATTTTTTTTTTTACATAAATTATAAAAATTCTACATTAAAAAAACATACAAAATACAACAGATAACACTATAAATTACTATAATTTAGTTAAAAGTGAAAAAATTATATGGAACAAAAATGACGTGTGATGGGACTCAAAGGGAATCAAATTTCAGCTGGTTCATTTAATGATTTTATTGGTGAAATTCAGATTTTACCAACCTGTTAAAATGAATCGTATAAACACTAACAATTGGTTCAGCCACATGACAACCCAAAACACAAACAACACGAACATCAAACTCAGAACATCTTTTGAAGACAAATCGCACAAGCAGAGGCACAGTGCTATTTAAAAGGGCTGTCGGCACCAATAGCCTAGTGGGCAGTGCGCCAACATATAACGCTACTGTGTTACAGGCGTCCCGAGTTCGAATCCCGGCTTGAGGACCTTTCCTGATCCCAACCCCTCTCTCTCTCCCACTTCACTTCCTGTCTGCTCTACACTGTCCTATCCTAATAAAAACGGCAAAAAAAATAAAATTACCATAAATTCTGCATCATTAAGCCCCTAAATGTTGAAGATTCATAGCTGAAAACGTTCTGCCATGTATTCTGCACAGATGCATAAAAAAAAAATCATATTACTGGAAAAGCTATTTTAAAAACAGCTGAGGTACTGCTAGGATACTGAAAGATGTAGTTAATAGCAATGCTACTTTTAGTACTTAGTAGTTACTGCCCAACACTGCTTGTCAGATGGGAAAGGAAGACATAAAAAAACAGATGGACATGGTGAAAAAGGGAAAAATAGCGAAAATTGAGAAAGAAAGATGCTCAACACAACAGTATCAGACTAACATCGTAACAACAGAATGCAATAGCAAGGTACATTTTTAACTCCTACGTAATTTAGAAAAGCAATCACAAAAAAATACTCAAATAGCAGAAAAGCACATGACAAAGAAATGTTTCAGGTTCAAATCAGCAGAACAGATTTAAATACATGGGATACAGGGGGAAACAAATTACAAATCCTGCCCAAGTTCATAGTCTGCGGCTAAGATTAGGTGCTCTTTAAAAAAAAAATCTTGGAAGAGAGTATAACAGCTGAAATAAATTAATTAAAATTCAATACTTCTCTATCCTTATCCCCTTGCCTCAGAAGTTTGTTTTCCATTTTGTCTGAGGGCAAAACTAGGGCGATAAAGTCAGTTTTAGAAGTACAATTTCTCTCGTTTTAATTCCCCCACTCAACATTCAAACAAACTATATGCTGAAAAGGCAGTTTGTGTATAATAGCAGAAATATACAGCAAATGATGCCTCTAAATCATTCCAAAGCAACTATGTGAGGATATATTGCTTTTTTCCTTTTCCCTGAGGTCTTTGTCCTCATTCGGCTTATTACACCGCAAGATTTCAACTTTGTTCTCCAATGACCTTTTCATCCCTGACACCAAGCTAGTTTGTACAGTAGTCTAACGAAGCTTGCTAGATGTGGATGCAGAATGCTAAGGTCACGCTATGACTTTGAAATCTTGAAAAGTTCTTCTAGAAAAAAAAAAGTTAATTCAACAAATATCAGACTGTAACCAGCTCATAATTCACAACGTTAGTATAATGTTTCACAAAAACAAATTATTAGCTCTGTTCCAAAACCTAGTGGACTTCCTATGAAGACACACTTCTGATGTGAAGGTATATAGTTCTGAGGCAAACAGGGTCCTGATCACGACCTGAAACATGTTTATTAGCAGTATTTTTATGTTTATTAGTGTATTGTGTCATTCCTCTTATGTTACCTGTATTGAAGTCAAATCTTTATGTAGGCTGGTCACTAAGAACAGATCTCTCTTGTTGAAGACTCACCTTTGACTAGAGCGGTCGCTATACTGCTGTGCACACTGTGCTGACTGTGAACTCGGTCTCACTGGCCATGATATCAGTGGGCTGGATGTTACGGTCATACATAGGGTTCTCGAAAGTGGCTCTTCCGTTGGTGTTCTCATGGCCTGCGTAACCATTGAAGGGTACTTTGGGCCTTTTTCTGCAAGTAAACAAGACATATTACCAAATATTCTGGAAGAGTGATTCATAATAAATCACAAAAATCAATGCACAATGAGTGCTGTACCTGTGTTTGTAGAGATACAGTGCGAAGCCTGCTATGATCATGGCAATAAAAGGCACTAAAATGGCTGCTGCCACCGAACTGCTATTGGAGGCAAAGTTATAGCCTGGATTCTCGCCATTTGGATCAAGGCCCTCTGTAAAAGAACATACAAATAAAGCATTTACAAAATATTGTTTTTACCTTTTCAAACAATACAGGAATAAACAATTGATTTCTGTATAGAGTTATTATTAACAATAACTAACCACAAGTGAAAAGCTTTTTGTCAAAGCATGTGTTCGAATTGATTCGAAACCATGCAACAAATAAGAAATTAATCAATTAAATGGGCAAACTTCACATCTCACTGTTTTGTATAACTCAACTGGGAGACTTGTTTTTGGGAGATGTCAAACTGCATTATCTTGACAATGCTTTTTAATTAGAGATATCAAGACACGGCAAATTCGTGACACTTTTCAATTTCGACCACAGAGCTTTCCTAAACAACGAGAGAGTGTCAGTGCACCTGTTCATCAGACAATGCCAAAAAGCTTCCCAATAACATCAAGGCTGCAAGTGGGAGATTCAATTAACTAACTCAATAGAGCCAGCTCATCAAACCAACATGAAATGATGGAATATGGGTGTGCACACACACACACGCTCTTTCCACTACAGCTCCTCTTATTAATAAATCTTCTGTTTGCTCAATCTGTCTGACAATGTTGGGATAGGAGTCTATACAGCTGTCGTTTATAGATGAAGGCGCGCATGTTTCATTATGGCAGGATTTGACAGACCGTTCCCGGTTTGGCCTCCACAAGCTGTACACCAGATACTTACACCAACCCTAGTTTTCCTTTCTCTCCTACTAAATTGTATTATAATAATACATGATAGCTCTTGTGGGTGGCATTGGCAGTATATATCATTTTAAACATATACTTGATAACTGATATCTGAGGAAACGATACAGACTTGACATTTTCACTACGACATTAAAGCTGAAGTGTGTACTTTATCCAATGTTAAAATACCTTGCCAGCTTAAAATGCTGAAACATCTATATGCAAATTATTCATGGACTGATTTGTTTGAGCATCCCATCCAGCCTGACACAGATAAACCCCTGTAATAAGTTTTGTTATAATGAATCAATCGGAATAAAGCATTAAAGAGAACAGTGTAATAAAATGCATTATTTTCATTTGTATCATCATATAATCAATCACTTGCATAGGGTATAACTTGAGATAGTGCTATGCTAAGCTAGTACACTGAACATCGGTTTGGGGTCCCAGGTGGACTCAATTCAACAGAAGAACGTGATGAAAATGACATGATTTAATGCCGCTATAATTTCTGTCATTTATTTCTGTCAATATGTTGTTCCAAACCATAATACACTTCTGTTTGTCTTTGAAGCACAAATGAAGCTTTAGATATTTCTGTCCCTCCATTTGAAAGCTTATTTGTGTTTAGAAGATGAACAAAAGTCTCACGGGTTTGGAACGACATTGAGTCCTTTTTAATTTTATCCCTTTAACAAGCAAGATTTTACAGTCCTATAAGACAAGCACACATACCCAGCCTCTGAAGTCCAAACTGGCCGAAGCCTTTTCCTCGAACAAAGCCTTGGTACACAAATGAATCAGAAGAAGGCATGTATGACACCTGTGGAGAAAAGTACAAATCCGTAAGTAAAATGAATGTTCAAAATGTCACAAATGAGCCACTGAAAGGTAAAATGTGTCAGTGATGTGAAAGACTACTTATGTTTGACATTTACTTTCCCCATCATTCCTCGCTGAGGCATAAAAAATGTACACATCCACTTACAAACACATAAAAGTCGCTTTCTCCCTCTTGTGCTTTCTCTATCTCTCTCTCTTACATGAACACACACACACACAAGAGCCACACACTCATGGCCCACACTTTTAATTACACTCTCCCAGGTGCTTGTCCCAAGTGCATTGGAGGGGGGTAGAGACGTCTGGCCCTGATTACCCAGCAATGATTTAACTGACGTTTTAATTAAAAGAAAAACTTTGTCGGTTCTCTTCTATCCCCAGGAGTGACAAGCTGTGTGTGTGTGGTTGAGGGTTTCAGTAGTTACAAGCAGCCCAAGGTCTGGCCCTATACAAGAGCCCTTACATCAGCCTGTGAGTATTGAAGTACACTTTGAGCACTCTCAGGTTGCAGTAAAGGTTCAGAAACGTCCACCTTTCAAAGCAAGAGCACGACTTTCAGAGGACTACATCTGCATGGAGTCACACCATGAAGGAGAAAGGACTTGCATCAACATAAAAGCATGGCTGTTGAAATCAAACGTAAGATGCTTCTTTTTCCCAGTAACCAGTCCACTTATGTATAAGCCGATCAGAAGGCTGGGTCAAGTTAAATCGTGGTTCAAATATTTGATCTGCGGTTGCCTAATATCTTCAAAGCAAACAATCTATTTGAATCGAATCCATTACAACGTGGAAAATCTGTAGAATCATCACAATGATTATTACTTCCACGTTTCACACTGCAGGGAGTCTTCATTTCAAAACGTCAGGATAATGATTCTATGGATGTAAGGCACACAAGGGCTTCCTGTTACAACTACGGGGAAGATCAGAGGAAAGGGAAAGAGGAATATACATACATGTCCATCCAAGGCCCAGTTGTCAATTTTGAACTTGTTAACGAAGATCTCCACAGGGCCTCGAATCTGATACACCTGCAGCAACAACTGGGCTTCTTCTGACACAGAAAAGAAGAACACAATGAGAGAAACAAAGACATGAACGACTGTATTATACATTCAAGTGACTAAAATATTTTAGGGGAATATTTAATTAACTTGCCTTGCATTAAAAGATTACTTTAATTTATGGTAGACAGTGAAACTTACCGGGTTGCTTTGTGTTGGGCGGCTCTTGCACTGTTCCTACAGTTTTTCCGCTTGGTCTGTTATCAGCTATAGGACAAGTAAATATATATGGTGTCAGATGAAGAGGCAGAACACACCTGACATTGACCTTTCAAAAGCAGTACTAACAAACATGATTACATGACTTGTGTAAATAAATTAAAACCAAAAACATTTGGACCATATGGGCATAACATATAGACTTTCTATGATTTGGGATTTCACTTAATATATCTGAATACCCTGTGAAGTCTACTTCGCAGGACATTATAAGATGATTGGACACACACAGTGGGGGAAAAACAGCTTTATTAGATGTCATACGACTATGTTGTCTCTCTCTCTGGTCTCCCACAGGTGCTGTTAATATCCTTCCACTGCAAAAGGCCAGAACCCTACTTTCAGCTTTATTATAAAAGATTCCAGCAACATATTAGACTATGATGCATTTAGGGTTTAACTTGAGACTAATGCCATCCTCCTTCAGCAGAGTAAAAAGGAAATTGTTAATCTTATTTTTCTGCCCTATACGCTCACAGTCGGCATGGTAAATACTGTATGGGAACTGTTTATCTGATGATATTTTATAGCAGTCTGGGCTTTCCAAAACCAAATCAATGCATTCCACTGGGCTAATCAGAGCTCTACTAATATGAAATTTCAACAATAACATGATGAATTGGGCACAGCGATCACACACCTGGTAGCCTTGAGAGTTGTTCTGGTGGCCAAAGAGAGGAGTGCCAGGATCTACACAGCTGGTGTGACTGGGATCTGTGTTAAATAAATAAATTAATTAATTAATAACAATCAGAGCAATTCTGCTTTGCCACCACAGGAATAAATTACATTTTAAAATACAATAAAACAGAAAACACTTATTTTAAATTGAAAAATATTTCACAATATTATTGTTTTTACTGTATTTATGATTAAATAAATCTAGCCTTGAGCAGAAAGGTGGTTCTTAAAAAAAAAAAAAGAAAACACTTCTGAATTGTAATGTGCAGGGTTGCCAGGTTTGTGAAACAAAACCAGTCAAAACCAACAATTACTATTCAAAGCTAGCCCAATCACTTTTTTTTCATTTTGCAATATAATAATGTGTCAGAACTGTTTTATATATTTGTTTATATTTTAAGTGTGAGGGCAGCATGAATACATCAGCTGACCTATGCAAGATGGCTGGGTTCCACTCCAGGTTCCATCGTATTGGCAGTAACGGCGAGCAGAGCCAACCAGGATCAAAGGCGGGTAACATGAGAATGAAACAGAGGACAGGTATGTGAATCCTCTGTCTTCTCGCTTGCCCTGGGCTGGTATCCCTGGATCTCCACAAAATACAGCTGCAGAGAAAGAGAAACTCATTGAGGAAATTATTATACTATAAGGTATTGCCACCATCACACAAAACGTACCGCTAAAATTTAGAAACATCCAGTTAAAAATGTTATATGTGGATTTAAATGCTTATAAACAGTTCTGGTAAACCTCAAATTGTAATTGGAGCCTTTAGAAAAATTCACACTTACGAAAACACTGCGGCCGTTCGCCACTCCAGTTTCCTGTGCCCTGGCAGGTGAGGATAGTGGGAAGGGAAAGCTGGTAGCCCTGATTACAGCTATAACTAATGCTGGACCCCCACTGGAAGTCAGACCCCACCACCTGACCATTCGGGATGCTGGGAGGTGCTCCACACACAATGGCTGTGAGAGGACACAGACAATCAGTCATGTTGAACTAAACTAAAACAACATAGCCTATAGCGCAAGAGCCCAATCATTTGGAAGTATACAGGAAGCTTCCATTCACAAGAGGTGTACTCGAACCTTTGCAAACTGGCTTGGTGCCATTCCATGTGCGATCCTTGGTGCAGATGAGCATGGAGGCACGATCGGCATCCATAGTGAAACCTGGTGAACATTGGAAGCTCACAGTGTGGCTGTACGTGAAGTCAATACCCAGTCTGATACCATTAGCTGGCACTCCAGGATCTCCACAGTTAATGACTGGAAGTGGGCAGAGAGAGTAAAGCAAAGTCAAAGAAAAGCTGAAAGCCATTTGTGGTGCGATAAGAGGAAGTACATGGCTAAATGACAAGCGAGGACAAGTGTGCCAAAATACGGATGATTTGGAACCATTTTATAATTAGCCGTTTCACTGAAACAGATAACAAATTTAGGCAGAAACATTTTCATATTAAAAGGGTCATAAACTGGAAGCAACAAGATGTTTTATCACTCTTAGTGGTGCCTTTAAATTAATGAACTGTTTTAGGCATCAGCTTTGGGAGGCTCTTTCCTCTAGTCACTTCCTGTAGTCTGAGGCCACCGGCAGCTGCTCTGTGCCAAAGACACCAATGTGTCTGGAGCTGTAACGTTTGCACGTGACCGCCATTTGCTCAGAGCCTGAACAGTGAGCATTGTGTTTTTATGAGCATGGCAAGTCACTCGGGTGGCTGCCAAGAGGGGGGACAGGGCTAGTCTATCTCTCCAACACAGGGCTGCTATGTAGACGTCCCTGATCTGCTTGCGTCCAGAGCTGGGATAATGGAGAACACTGTGCCTCATTATTAATTCCTGTCCCACAATGCATTGAAAAGCTTCACGCGAACAAAACCAATTCAACTCCAGCCTCTGGATTCCTCAAGAGCTCGGCCACTGAGAGCTGTACTATTCAGAGCAGTTTAGCGTAAGAGAATCTCGAGAATAAAACCGTCCCTTTCTAAAGCCACTTGAAGACCCTATGAAAAGACACTATGAGCATAGTCGACTTTATCCTGCATTCCATTTAACTCGGAAAGTGGGAATTTCCAACTTGCTATTTAGGAAATTGCAAAAGAAAGCCACTTAGAGCTAGACTTGGAACATGGAAACTTTCCAACTTAGAACTATGATTTGCTGAGATGGTGTGATCACGGTGTCACATAGAGAGATGCACAAGGGCAGTGATAAACATTTACTTTTAAGAAAATAAAAAGCAATAATAAATCAAAGTACCTACATCTGCTAAAAAAGTTGTAATACTAAAATACTTGCCAAGACAAATGTGTGCAAATGAGGTAAATGATCCTCTCTCTTCATAATCCTACAGAATAAATGCTTACTTTATCCTCTGCAATTTGTTTGCTAAGAGCTAGTCTTTGTTGACAGGTGAACAACTGCAAAGCTAATGATAACATTTCAATTAGCCGAGTACCAAGCTAACAGCTTAGCACAGTGCTAACAAGCTTAAAAAAGCTCTTTTGATTAGAATAAGATTTCCAGATAGCATGTTATCTTTTTAATCAACCATTAAGAAACAGGGATAGGATTAATCGTGAATTGCTACATGCTAATGCTATTCAGAGGTACCCTAGTAAAAAGTAATATATTTAAAATACATTTATTTCATACTAAGTATTGTTCAAATCTATTAACGCATTTACTGACATATCGCTTTAGACTTACTGACTTTATCTGAAGTACTACTTGTGCACAATGCACATTTCTTTATATTAAGCCTAAAATGTATTTTAATATCACTATTGATTAGGACGGTATGAACTTTGAGTAATATCAGTCTTTAAATGCAAGACATTTCAAGTACCTGAAGTACTGATACTTGCAATAGTTCCACTTTAGCACAATCGAATATATTTCATATTCAAATATACATCACATAAATATACTTTACAAATATTGTGCCCAAGAGGAGTCATTTATATTTTTGGTTTGTATTCCCCCGGAAAAGGACTATACATTTAAAATGTTTATATTTGCTACTTTTGTCAAATTAGTTTAACTAGCATATACTGTTGATGGACTTAAAGCCACAAAACTTTGATTTTGATTTCATGGGGGCTTCCATCAGTTATTACATACGCTAGTGTCCTTTGGATCAGGTTTTGCATCAGGATACACATTTTACATTGGAAATCAAGTGGTGTCCCAACACAGTACCAAATATGATTATCAGACAAACCCAAATTTGAATGGTATCATGTTTGGGCGGCAATAATTCACCACACACTGTTGTCGGTATAATGTGTGGATAATTTTTCTAGCAAGAGGAGGATGGATTTGTGCCAACATACTGAGTTTCACTGGATAGAGAACCTTTGATGTAAATTTGAGAGAAAAAAAAATAATAATAAAAAATCTGCTCCATTTTAAAAGTGAATGAGCCCACTTTATTTTTGCTTCGTGTGAAATTTGCATAGAAAAAAAATAAGTATACAGTATGATTAGTAGTTTATTAGGTCACACTTTATTTTAAAGTGTCCAATTCTCACTATTAACAAATCATTAACAACAACTTTTGCCTCAATAAACTCCTAATTGATGCTAATTAATATTTAGTAAGGTAGTTGTTAGGTTTAGGTAGGATTAGGGATGTAGAATATGGCCATGCAGAATATGTGTTTTATAAGTACTAATACACAGCCAATATGTTAACAATAGGCATGCTAATAAGCAACTAGTTAATAGTGAGAATTGGTCTATACTAAAGTCTTACCGTTTATTAATTATTTGCATGCAAGACTTTTTCCCTGCTATCCTTTTTTTTGTGTCACGTTTCACCAGTTGACAACCACTATTTTATAGTATATTACATTATTATAAAGCACACCAATTCTGCAAAGAACAGTCTATTTCCTCATATAAGCAAATGCTAGGACATCAAACATTTGTGATGAGGACATAAACGAAAAAAGTCATCTTGATTTCCCCTTGCACTTTAAGACGATGAGCTTTTTATGGTGTATTCAGCATGTAAATTTATGAGAGGGGTTTTAGGTTGCTATTGATTTGCTCTCTGGAAACGTCTGCATTTTCTGAGAATCCACCTTTTTTGTCACCACAGTTTGTTGAACTGGCATGGATAACAATAGCCCAAGGGTCAAATCAATAAGAGAAACACAAACTTAGGCAGACACACAAGCGCACATATTTCAAACACACAACCCCCAAGCATTTGGAAGGTAGGAAGGGATTGAGATGACAGTGTGCTTTGTACGAGATGCAAAACTAAAAATATCTGGAATGTTTAGGGGTGACTGTTAACAAGATGTGAGATAAAACAAATGGCTGGTGTTAAAAAAGCAGGGTAAGAAAAATGGCAGGCATCTCCACACGGGTAATTAACCTGGGTTTTCTGCTTCTCTGACATGCCTTTCTTTGGGTTGTCAGCCTGACTCTGCAGGCACTTCACACAAACCAACACGAGCAGAATAATAATGCTGTTTAAGAGAGAAGGAGAGAGTGCAAACACAGCAGCCCAGTGGCCAGGGGACCAGCAGGGCTGGCACAGTCGTTTCAGTATGTTGAGAGAAAGAAAACACGGTACGAGTGGAAGTGTAACATGTGTACACCCCAGGTGTACTGAGCCACTTTAAAGCTACAGCAGAGAACAGACGGGAACCAATCAAGATGAAAATAACTTCTCTCCAACCACTTTCTACCTCAGTCTGTTGGTTTGTCTCCATCTCGATCTTTTGTTTTGCACAAGTTTAGACATTTGTGTGCAGAATCAAACTGCTATGAAATAACTCGCTGAGAAATTTGCATAGGCTACAATTTTGGGGTGTAGCAGAATCTTCTAGAGGCAGAAGCGATTAATCATCTGAGTTCAGCCGCATTCTTCTGCAGACCACCCAGGTTTCATTTTTCTTACCGTGGCATTCAGGCTGGATGCCCACCCAGCTCCCGTTAGCCAGGCAGGTTCGTTCAGAGGAGCCCTTCAGAACGTAGCCAGGCTCGCAGCTGAATCGTACGATGCTCCCTACGGTGAACTCCTCTCCCAGACGGATCCCGTGCACTGGAATGCCAGGGTCTCCACACAAACCAGCAGAATCCCCTGAAACAACACACATACATATGAGCACTTGGACACTTATTCTTATGGCAGTGTTAACAAAATATATATATTTAAATCAGGCCCATAATATCAATTTTCACTTTCTTCATTTTGGTTTGGCATTTAAAATTACATGATATATTTAAAGTAAAAAAAAAAAATGAAATAAGTGCTAAATGCACAATTCAGGGATAAGGTGGTGATTTTAATTCGTCTGAGACAAGGTCTTTACAGGGGAATAACATCTGTATCTGGTGTTCATCTAGTTTGTTTAACCAACGGACACATGCGTTGTGGAGAAACTCAATAAAACTAAATCACTCCCATTAAAATCAATGGAGTTGTCTATACACCTCAAGTACAATGAGTTTCAAACCCTTGGCGTAGTGTCTATGTACAATGAAGATACCCTCAAACCAGTCCAATTTAGATCCTTTGGCAGCGAGTGATAGGAAAACTACTATCTAGATGCCCCGCAGGACTTTCAAACTTGCTCTCTATTACATTAGGCTTTTATTTAAAGAGGTTAACTGAGATTTACACAAGATGATGAGTAATTTCATTCATATTTATTGAACAACTCTCTGCGGTAGACCTGGCAAAGGAGATGAAAAGAGGCATCACAGCGGCTTGGTTTAGGTGATAATTTACTTTGGAAAAGAAAGCACCAGGGACAGAAAATTTCCCTTAATTTCCGCTCATAATGCCGACCCGTGCGCTCCATGGTGTTCTTCAGCAAATCCTCTTATTTTGATCCACTGATGCATTTACAAATGATCTTTCTATTCTCTATATATCCTCTGGTAATGCTCAACAAACAATCACTAATTTGAAATGAACAGTGAGTCTTTCGGTGAAGGGCGAAGTAAATATTAAAGAATTACTACTATTTATATACCGCATATCGTCTTCAGAAACTCACACTGACAGGCCAGTTATTAACCACAAGATGTCTTGCAAAAAAAGCCTAATGCACTTTTTGACAGCTGACAGAAAGAAACAGCAATCTTTTGAGAAATATGAATGCTATGAATTGTGACATTAACCTGTCAGTGGTTTTACAGCCAGGGATGAAGCTCTTCTGGCATATCTGAGGGCTGCAATGGACTGATGTGTTTATAGTGGAGCAGGGCAGCTCATTACCTGGCAGGCATGTGGGAGTCTGTGTCGCCAAGCCCAATATGAGAAGATTAAACCAGTTTTATGAGGGGACACACTCTTTGCCCTTCTGGATGCTGCCTATATGGCACTATTGTATTACCACCCACTGATCTGGGCTGTGATCCTGAAGCCATTGATTCATCATCTCACACGCTTACGAGACCTCAGAGACTGTGCTATCTCAAATGTGAAAAATGGAGCCCATGCCCCACTATATATGCACATTATATGGACAAAAGTATTGGGACACACCTCTTAATTATTAAATTCAGGATTCAAGTGTTTCAACCAGACCCATTGCCACAGGTGTATACAAATCAAGCACCTGGCCATGCAGTCTGCATTTTTTTTTTTTATTAAAAAAAAAGGATGTTCTGAAGAGCTCAGTGAATTCAAAGTGTGGTACTGTGACTGGATGCCACCTTTGCAATAAGTCAGCTTGTGAAGTTTCAAGCCTGCAGGATATTCCACGGTCAACTGTAAGTAGTATTATTATATAGAAAGTGGAAGTGTTTATGAACAGCAGCAACTGAGCTACGAAGTGAAGTCCACGTAAAGTCACAGAGCGGGTCATGCATGGTGCGTAAAAATCACCAATGCTCTGCTGATTCCAAGAGACCAAACCTCCACTGGCATTAATATCCACACAAACACTGTGCTTCACTGAATGGGTTTCAATAGATGGTGTAGTGTAAAGCACACCAACACTGGACTCTGGAGCAGTGGAAACCTGTTTTGTGGAGTGACGAATCACGCTTCTCTGTTAGGCTCCTTAATTCCAGTGAAGGCAAATATTAATGCTTCAGCATACCAGGAAATGTTGGACAATACTTTGCTTCCAACGTTGTGGAAACAGTTTGGGGAAGGCCCTTTTCCATTCCAGCATGACTGTGCCCCAGTGCACAACGCAAGGTTCATGAAGACATGGTTGGATGAGTTTGGTGTGGAAGAACTTGACTGGCCCACACAGAGCCTTGACCTTAAGCCCATCAAACACTTTTGCGATGAACTGAAATGGAGACCGCGAGCCAGGACTTCTTGTCTAACAGCAGCTCCTGACCTCACAAATGCTCTTCTGGATGAATTGGCAAAACATCCCACAGAAACACTCCAAAATCTTGTAGAGAGCCAGCTATAAGAATATAAGCTGTTATTGCTGCAAAGGGAGGACCAACTCCATATAAATGTCTATGTATTTAGAGTGTGATGTTATTATTAAAGTCCATGTTTGTTTAATGGTCAGGTGTCCCAATAGGGAATAATAAAAAAATAAGTGGGACCAGTTCTCACTATTAACTAAATGCTTATTAACACTCCTATTAACAACATATTGGCTGTTTATTAGTACTTATAAAGCACATATTCTGCATGACCATACTCTACAACCCTAATCCTACCCAATATCTAAACTTAACAACTACCTTACTAACTATTAATAAGCAGCAAATTAGGAGTTTATTGAGGCAAAAGTCATAGTTAATGGTTTGTTAATAGCTTTAAATTAAATAAACAAATAAATAAAAATATATATTTATTTACATGTATTTATATATTAAATGTATATTTATTATTATTATTATTATTATAAAGTTTGCAAAAATATTCCCTTCTTTTCTCATAAGTTTACATTCCCTTGTGAGAGAATCTGTCAGTCTCTTTCATATCTACAAAAAAAAAAAACATAGGAGGGTTAATTAAATCTAAGAAAAATAAAATAAAAATAAGATCAAAAAGTATTAGTACTTTGATTTAGTACTGCACTGAAGACATGGCATATTTACACGTACTCCACAAGACAACATATTTAACTCAATTTACACAAATGATCTTGTTCAAAAGTTATTTTATAACTTATTGCTTATTGCTGCCTGCTTGAATATCAGTAACCTTTGTGATAGCTGTGTATAAGTCCTTGCTTTGACCCGAGTTGCAAAGCTGGATCTCAACATCATACAGTCATTGTGAGGAAGAACACAAATGTGCAGAGCCTGCTGGGAAACCAAAGAACCTGCAGTACCTGAAGGTTTTTTGGCAGCTTCACTGCTCAAGACAAAATAGGGACTCAATGACAAGGAATGTTTTGAAATGAAAGTAGGTAGTCTAGTGTGTGTAAATATAAAAAAATTACAATGAGATATATTTCTAAAATATTTTTAGATACCAATATATTACTAAATAAAAATAACAATAAAGACATACAGATGAGCATGTTGAGTAGGGAAAAGATTTGAAGTACCAGAGCAATGTGGCAGGGAGCCGCTCCACTGGCCATCCAGCTGGCACATGCGGGTGGTATTGCCCACAATGCTGCGCTGGCCGATGCAGCTGAAGCGGATAACGGAGCCCACTGTGCGCCTGTCCCCCGAGATCTGTGCATACGGAGGCATGCTGGGACGATCACACAGAACCACTGCGGCAGAGAGGGGAAAAAAAAGGGCAAACCTTATCTACAGTGCACAATGTCAGATCACGTGTATAAACAATGCAGAGTAAAGTAGGTTGTGAAATTATTTGAGTAAAGGTTTATCAGGCTAAGATGACTTACAGAGGCACCTGGGTAGGGAACGGTCCCATGTGCCATCGCCCTGACAGCTCAGAGTGCTGGTGCCCAGCAGGTAGTATCCAGGGTTACAGCTGTAAGAAACTGTGGTCTGGAAACTGTAACGATGAGGCCCGCTGGGCAGGACCTGTCTGACACCATTTTCAACATGTCCCGGGTCAGTGCAGTTCACAACTGAGACGCAGATAGAGTGGGCGAGAGAAAGCGAGAAAAAAAGACAGAGAGAAAGAAGGTTATGAAGAATACTGTTGAGAAGTACACTGCAATTCAAAAGTTTGGGGTAAGTTTTTTTGTTCTCTGCAAGAACACATTAAATGGATCAAAAATGAAAGCAAAGATATTTCTAATATTTTTATTTCTAATAAATGCTGTTTTTTAACTTTCAACAATCTTGAAATATCACGGAGTCCACAAAAAAATTAAGCACACAACTGTTTTCAACATTGATAATAATAATAAATGTTTCTTAAGCACCAAATCAGCATATTAGAATGATTACACATGATTACAGATAACACATTTACATAATCTCCGCCTGCCCAGAATACGAACAGAATCTGACCTGCCCACAAACACTTCAGCTAGTTAGTGTGTTTACATCATGTCGAGAAGACGCTGTGTTCAAGGATGCCACAGAAGTACAATTCGAACCTTTTGTTGTGTGCATGCCATTTCAATGGTAGCACTCGCTAACTAACTTGCTCAAGGACTCCTCTCTGTGCCAATCACAACAGGCTTGGCCAGCTGATCATTCAGAGCAGAGTAGGCTTATGGAAGGGAGGGGTTTGCTCCAAACTTGCTTGGAACGAATCGTTTCGAAATCATTGGCAAATGACTCTAATATTAAATGTATATTCTGAAAAAATTACAATGTTTTCTGGCCTTAGATGCATTTAAACCTGTTGTAGGTGACTCCAACACAATATTAGGACACTTTAAAATACCATATGACCGTCTCTTTAAGTCACAACTGTTTTTTGGTATAATTAATTTCAATTTCATTTAAAAGATACCTTTGTGTACATTTCTATCTTGGTGGCAGTAATTCATCAAATGATTACAGCATGATGAAAAAAAAAAAATTATAAACAGGCATCTATCCAGATACATATAGCAATGTATCCTCTGTTCAGTCCCAGTAAAATCTGCTTCCTCCTCCACAACAAGCCAATCTAAACGATGGGCAACTGTGGCATGCAAATCACATTCAGCACTCATTTTTGGCCTTGTTTATGCCATTAATTGATTTGTGCAATTTTTTTAGCGAATTTTGTGAAATAAAAGACGCTGCCAGTGGGCACAGTTTATTTTTCCTGATATCCAACCAAACACTTTTCCCCACACAAAATGACAGAAAAAGACGATTTACAAAGAAGATTAAAGGCTTCTAAAAAAAAAAAAACTTCTGTAAATATTTGAAACCACAAACACAAACAGTAGCTTCATTAACGGCTGGCTGAGGACATGAACTGGGCTTAGAGAGAGGAGAGATGGAGATATAGCGCTGGTGTGTTAGCTATGAGCCAAAAACATGCAGAGAACGAGAGCACAGAAGGACAAAAGTGCATGATGAAGAACCTAAAACAGAAATCAGCAGTAATTTGTTTTCATTCACGCACTGAAAGGAAACAAAATATACATTAAAGTGCAAGTGCAATTGAGCAGGCCAAGACAATAAGATGGGCCATCATGTTAAACTATGTTTTGTTCTTCGAGTACTTCAACTGATTCTAACAAATTCAGCTGAACACACTTTTGGCGACATTTTACGTGCAATTACAGGGAAACAGTGAAGCCACATGAAGAGGACAGGCTTCCTTATTTGACTCCAGAGTGTTCCTTCTGCTGTTTCAGGCCAGCAACGTTCCCTTAAAATCTCTCCGTTAGGGACAACTTGTCAACGGAATTAGACTTTCCAGGGTAGTAATGCATGCTAATGCCTTTAACAGCTCTTAGCAGAGCCAGCCAAAGCCATTTTCTATGATGCAACCATTTATAACTTAAATATACTAGCTTGATTTTCAACTAAAATGTTAATGGTTAAGTTAGAAATAAATACACAAATAAAATCAATAGAAAGAAAGAAAAGCAGAAAAAGAAAAAAAACAACAACATAGGAAATCATGTTTATTTGTGCTTGGCCGTAATACGATATTAAAATTGATGCTCCTGCTGGCCAGTGGCCATTTTTGAGGAGAGGTGGTTCAATTATCTGCAGATATGTGTCTAACCAACTTATCTGTGTGGTTCGGAAGGCCATTTTGGAGATAGAAGCGGCTCACTCAGACACAAATTGGTGCTGATTAGCGGGACTGTGCAGAGGCCTACTAAATTATTGATGCAGCTCCGAGCTCATAGCATTTTTTTACCGGCTCCTTTTGTGCCATTAAACGGCCGTCTTCCCACGCTCAGTGCTAATGACGGACCATGATGGAGAGGAGACCGTGACTGATATGATCAGACCACTTCAACTTCCTCAGTCAGAGTAAACACACATTTATAATCTAAAGAGGGGATGGATGATGCAACTTCAAAGATTCAAATTAAGGTAATTCAGATCAATCAGAGTGATGCCATGCATTCATAACTTGTGTAATTATTTCACTGTTTCCAGAAAATATTAAGCACACAACTGTTTTCAACACTGATGATAAGAAATGATTCTTGCGCACCAAATCAGCATATTAGAATGATTTCTGAAGGATCATGTGACACTGATTACTGAAGTAATGGCTGCTGAAACAAACAGTAAACAGTAGTGCACTTTATGGCACATTTGGCTTACTTATGGCAACTCCTAATGAAACATGTTGAATTACACACAAAGATTTGCATATATTGTCATTGGCTGGATCTGTGCTAGTCATCCGAAACCCCAACTAAAGCACTTTTTGAGTAAGTAAAACCATTGTTTGGTTAATTTTCACAGAAAAATTCAGTCATGTTAATAGAAATCCATATGACTGGGAATTTTGCGAGAGAACGATTGAGCGAACAATGTTTCACAACAGGTTCAAGGTGCTCATGCAAATATTCCACGTTGACCAACAGAAAGCTGCTTCTACGGTCTTTATACTTTTTTTTTAATGAAACGCATTACTTTCATTGTTTAAATCCTTTAAATGCTGTTATTTCTCAGTTAAGAACCATTAGAACACATACTCTTGTTCTACACCATGCTGAGTTATAGAGCAAATTTGAATAGAGCAGTCAAGTTATTTCAACATAACAGCACTATTCACATTTCCTTGTCAAGTAACACACATACAGTCCACACTACAGTCCACCACTGATGATGAAGCCACAGGACTTACTTTTACACTTGGGCAGAGCGTTGCTCCACTGGCCGTTGGGCTGACAGTGAGACTTGATTGCACCCTGCAGAACATAACCAGGGTTGCAGGCAAAACGCACTATGTCGTTCAGGTTAAACTGCGTTCCCTGAGTCACACCATTAGCAGGGGTGCCTGGATGTCCACAGGTGATGGCTACAGAACATCAGAGCGACATATTAATATCCATTTACATGATTATTTTATTTCTCAGAGGCATGCAACTGTCAAAAGACGTCATATCAGATTGCTTAAGCAACACTTACGGACACAGACGGGAGTCTTTCCAGACCAGCGGTGGTCCTGCTCACAGATGCGAACAGACACGCCGATGAGTCGAAATCCAGGATTACACTGGTAAACGACACTGCCTCTGTAGTTGTAATTCTCTCCGATGATCTGGCCATTCACAATAGGCTCTGGTGTGCCACAGTGTCCAGCTGTTGAAGAAAAATATCGTAAATGAGGGTACATTTTCTCAAATTAATGATGGAATCCCATAACGGAAGTAGAGACTCACCAAGACATTGGACCTCAGCTCCACTCCACAGGCCATTGGACATGCACTCTCTCACTCTGGAGCCCACCAGAGTATAACCCGTGTTACAGGAAAAAATGGCAGTCGCTCCGTACACGGTTAATGTTCCTATTTTATTCCCATTCGGAGGGGTTCCAAAGTCACCACAGGAAATGACTAGGTAAAATCAGATGAAAAATGTATTAGTATTCTTTTTTTTTTTCGAACTATGAACAGAATTTCATTTTAAAGTCATGAAATTGACTTTCCCCCCTCAACATTTATTTGGTATGTAAATTGACTTTTATCATGACATACTAGATCAGGGGTTTTCAATAAAAGTTTGAAAATCCATCCATCCATTCTCCAAACCACTTATCCTCTCTGTTAGGTCGCAGGTTTCCAAAAAAAATCCTAATTTGAAAATACTGTGGTCTCAAAGCATATGTCTTAATGTCACTATAGCCCATATTGCACTCACTTTCACAGGACGGTCTCGGCTCAGGGTAATCCCAGGTGCCGTTAGCTTGGCAGCGGATGACCCTTTGACCCTTGTAGAAATATCCAGGGTCACAGGTCAACATCATCATGGCCTCATATTTATTCTGCATGCCATAAATAAGCCTCCACCTCCCATGATCCACTGCAGAGTGGCCGATGTCAGGGCAGGTCACAGCTGGAGGGTCAAAGTTAGTAATACAAATGTGCTACTTGATTAAGACCTACAGCAACATATTTCTTCTGTCTGTCTGTCTGTCTATCCATCCATCCATCTATTCTTTTGCTAAATTGTTCCATTAATTTCCATGTTTAAACAAAATTTTGATTTCAAGGTTAAATGTTGCCTAAGACTTTTAAAGTTAAAGAAAAAAGTTCAAGATAATATACATTTTATCTTTTCTTTCTTTTATCAATCTTTTATGTAAATAAGGACAGTGATTGTGGCGCTCATGAACTCACGGACGCAGCGAGGGCGGGTCTCCATCGGGCTCCACCTCCCAGACTCTTGACAAAGCGTTGACACCGGCTGAGCATTGGCCAATCGGAAACCAGGATTACAAGAAAATGAGACTCTAGAGCTGAGAGTGAAGTCCTGCCCGATGACAGTGCCATTCACTGGCGCAATAGGCATCCCACAGGAAACAACTGTGAAGGAGAGAAAGATTCTGACCTCAAAAACTAACTCAAGTATTTTCTCACAAAACCCCAAGGAAAGTGGGTATTTCTTTTCACCATCACATTTCAAAGAATACTCAGTGTAAACACACTCAGTGAACACACTAAAAGCAGCAATGCGACTGTGCAAACACAAGCTTGCAGTGGTTCTGGGAAGGTAAACAAGAGCAGCTAGAAAGCAACGGGCACAAGCCAAGATGCAGATTACATCTGGACATGGACTAAGGACACAGTGAGAACGACAACATCCTATACAGCCACCAGAGAGTCAGAGGGTACTGAACATAAACACAGTATAAACACAACAATCTCTCTGGCCACTTCAGCCATACGTAAATATGGAAATGTCTACGTCATACATAGTAAAATATAAATCAACATTTATTATTAAAAAAGCAAATACTGTTGAAACAGAAACAAAAAATCTAAATAAACTAACAAACAAAAATAGTAGCATCGTTTGTTTGCAGATGACACTTGGTTTGGTGTTTTATCGTTGAATGCAACATTAAACATTTATTTTAAAAAAGCAAACACAAAAATTAAAGCAAATAGAAAAAACTAAAATAAATAAAATGTTTAAATAATAATACAAAATAAAACAGTAATTTTAATAAATAGCAACTCTTTTTTTTTACATGACTTTTTTTTAATCCAATGCAATAACATTTTTTGTGGGCTGCTTAAATGTCTAAATAAGTTTTGGCACCACTGTATGTGTCAAATCAGAACACCAACACCAGGATGACAGGCAATGCTGATTTAAAAGTTTGAACGCCCATAGATCTGCCTCCTCTACCATCTTAATTTGTCATTTAGCAACTACTTCTATCCAATGTGATTTACAGTACACTTACAGGGACATTCCCTCTGGATCAACCCGAGGTTAAGTGTCTCTCTCAAGGCCACAAAAGAGACGATTTCATGATTTTTAGAGTTCATGATTGGCCCCCCGTTTGTTTGAACCTACAAACTTCTGACGTTCAGCCCAGATCAGTAACCACTGTATTATTCTCTATAGTCTCAAAAGTCATTATAATGCCTCTTCTTTCAAAGGACTGACACATATTGGATTTAATATCCATGCTACTCAACTTTCAATCAATCATGAGTGAACTACGTCCCACTTTCGAACACGAAAAAGACCATTCAGCATGTTCAATAGAGCTCTAAGGCTCTCGTCCTAAGGCATCTCACACCATCCCTGTCAAAGAGAAATTCACCTCTCTCACAGGTGAGGCCTTTATTAGCCAGGAAGTGGTGATAAAACGCAGCACTTCTGAGACTGCAGAACGGTAGACCCCGTGGAGGCCCCTGCTTTAGTGGATGATAACTGCCTCTTTCTGAGGAGACTCTCCCCTCGGACAGCACATTAGCAATAGTCTCGCAGCTATGGCTCCTGGCTAACCCATTTATTGTGATGAGCAATTTGACAGATGCAGCCAAGCCCTAAACATTGATTGAATACGGAATTAGCCACGCCGGCGCCGGTCTTTCGCAGAGAGAGTTCAGCGAGGAGAGGCGGATAATCGCCTCCAGACTTTGTCCAAGGTATTTCAAACAAGATTTTCAGACTCACCTTGGCAAAGCGGCACTGGAGCGTTCCATTGGTAGATGCCCTGTGGGGTGCGGGTGCAGGTGGCGGTGGTCTGGCCAATCAGGTTGAAGCCCCGGTCGCAACTGAAGCGCAAGGTACTGCCAAGTTTTGTGCCCGTCTGGCTATGCACCGAGCCATTCACAGGAGGGTCTGGGGTACTGCAGTATGCCGCTGTAGCACATACAAATGTAAACACAGCCAGAAGTCAAAAACACATCAGTCTGTGAAACCTGCTGCTTATTGCATTTCGATTCCTCATCCTGTTTACCGGATATTAACGCAGCCGGGAGCTGAGGACTGATTAAAAAGATGCACGGTATTGAACTGCAGGAATTTGTGTAAGGTCATAAATGATGGATATGTAACAAAAAAATCTATTGTTTTGTGTACAGTTTGTTAGTCTAAATTGTAATTCAGAATACAACGAGAGTCATTATACAAAGTTATGGTGTTTGGTATATGCAATCCAGGCCACATTCTCTCCTGTGGCACATGAGGCATCTGAGATCAGATCTTAGCAGGCTGTTCTCCTTGCAGACCAAACAAGAAAAAGAAGGACGGTAATGATAAAAGCATAATATAAAAGGAGGTATGGAGGAAATTAGGAGGAAATGGGGCAGGAATGCAATTTGTCGCATTATTAATCGCTATGACCGCATTACAGGCCTATCTGTTTCACAAGTTCACATATTCATATAATCCTTCAGTGCTACAGGTAAACAGGTTTGGCTAGCTGCCCGTAATGCAGGGACTTGAGGAAGTTGCCCCCCAGACTGTTTAATTAATGTAAGTTAATTAGTGTATGATTAGTGGAGGTTTCCTGGAAAAGGCAGAGATGCAGACTACTACAAATCATTTTCTTAAGCTTTATTTTTTGTTATACTTAAAAAAGAAGCGAAGTTAACGTGCGAAGGCAAACTGCACAGGAAATTAATTCTAGATATATATTCAAGATACACTATGTAAAGGATAATGCAAAAATACTGATTAAGAAAATGATTTTCTGCAGTGTAGGCAGCCGCTTATGTATATGCCCTTGTGTTGAATTAGATGAACAAGCTCTTGCTGAACTTCCATTTAAATGCCATTAAAACAATTCTAATTTCAGTCCAACACAATGTCTAGCAATGATCATTTCCTTTAGGAGAGTGAGGGACCACTCACAGAGGACACATTCTGGCATTGAAAACAGCTAGATGGCAATAAAATGGAATAGAGTGGAAGGGTCTTTTCAAAGCTGAACAGCTGTTAGCTATAGCTACATTAAAGTCATATTAAAAACACTGTGCTGATGGCACGAGACTACTCAATAGTCAAAGATACCCGTCTGAAACATGTACATGGATCAACAATTATAAAAAAAAAAAGACGGATATAAAACAATGTGCCCCATGCAAATAACCAATAAAGATTTTATTTTTTTTAAGTTGTGGTTTTTAGTCTTACTGTGTTGTGGATTCAGTGTTATTTATATGCTAGTGTATTTCTTGTGTATAGTGTATAAGTTGACAAATATCACACTACCTGCATTTATTTGATCTAAATAAAAAAATAAAAAAAACAGGACTTTAATGAACTTTAATGAAGTTCAAAAAGCACAGGAAGACTTTTAACTTTATAAATGTATTTTGATCAATTTAAGTCAAGTCAAGTCAAGTCACCTTTATTTATATAGCGCTTTTAACAATACAGATTGTGTCAAAGCAACTGAACAGCATTAATTAGGAAAATAGTGTGTCAATAATGCAAAATGACAATAGTAAACACTAATTTTCCAGTTAAAGACAGTTCATCATTGAATTCAGTGATGTCTTCATTCAGCTCAGTTCAGTTTAAATAGTATCTTTGCAATCATTTGCAATCAAGTCAACAATATCGCTGGAAATGAAGTGTCCCCAACTAAGCAAGCCAGAGGCGACAGCGGCAAGGAACCAAAACTCCATCGGTGACAGAATGGAGAAAAAACCTTGGGAGAAACCAGGCTCAGTCGGGGGGCCAGTTCTCCTCTGGCCAGACCAAACCAGCAGTTCAATTTCAGGCTGCAGCAAAGTCACATTGTGCAGAGGAATCATCAATTTAATGTGCCCTTGCTGAATAAAAGTATTAAAATAATAATACAATTTATTTCTGTTTTAAGAAAATGGATAAAAAAATATCAGTGTCACAAATTATGGTTCATAAAATCTAAAAGGAATGGAGAAAAAACCTTGGGAGAAACCAGGCTCAGTCGGGGGGCCAGTTCTCCTCTGGCCAGACCAAACCAGCAGTTCAATTTCAGGCTGCAGCAAAGTCACATTGTGCAGAGGAATCATCAATTTAATGTGCCCTTGCTGAATAAAAGTATTAAAATAATAATACAATTTATTTCTGTTTTAAGAAAATGGATAAAAAAATATCAGTGTCACAAATTATGGTTCATAAAATCTAAAAGCATAAAAAAAAAAAATCCTGTCTCAACTTTCCAGCAAACATCAACACAGGAAAGAAAACTGCACTCATATCAAGCCATTTCATGGGAATTTAGCTCTTCACAGTAAACGTTAAAAGCAAAAGCTAACCTACTGTAGGACAAAGAAAAATAAATAAATAAAGATAGCAGTAATGGAAGGGCAGCCATCAAGTTTTACAAGGCACAAATCTTTCTAATGATCAAACCACAGGGACATAAAATGTTTCCAGTTTCTCGTCCATTAGCCCTGACTGAAGATTATAGATAATGGACAAATTTGAAAGTTTACACATCATATACCTGTTGTAAAACTTTGAATAAAACCTGCACTAATGGTTTAAATGGCTTAGAGTGCGGTTTTGTTTTGTGCATCATACCTCTCATGTGATAGAGCAGGTGCTGCCCTCTAAATGGATAAAAAGACTATTGATTGTTGGCCACAGAGGTCTAGCTGTAAGAGAAGCCTTAGCAGAAATTTAGCCTTCGTGCTCAAATACTTTGTGCATCTGCGTCAACCAGGCGCGGTGCTGTTTCCTACCTTTCTATGACCCAAGAGCCCCAGCTTTGCATTTAATAAAGTTACGATACAAACAAACTTTCATGCTCCTTGGCCCTTGTTTTTAAATTACAAAGTTGATGCTGTCAATCTTCAACCTTTAACCTGCACGCTTTCTTCTTTTTCCAAAGAAAGACCTTCAAACTTCTCAAAGCCAGTCATTTAGCAAACCTCACACAGGTGATGGTGGGAAGAAAAGGTCAGGAAATAAAAATAAAAATGAAGAGAGAAACAAAAGAGAGAGGAAGGCGGAGTGAAAGGACCCGCTACAGTTGATGAAGCAACAGCCTGTGGAGATAAAAGATGGATTGAGAAAGAAAACGGTACGAAGCTTTGAATCTGTCCCACCATCTGTTTTTGTCCCACCAAGTTATCGCTACAGAAGGGAAACCATATTGAGGAGGGAAACCTAGGTGTGCTGCCGCTGCTAACCCAGACTGTCACAGAGCCCTATATCAAAAATCCATCATGCGAGGAAAGAGCGGAAAAAGCAAAACAAGCTGATGCTGAGAGAAAGGACCCTGATGAGCCAGACAAAGAGGTGATTAGTCATTCTTCTGAAACGCTAATGATTAGGAGCATACGGAAACTTTTTAAATATTTACGGGGTAATAACTCATTTAGAATTACGCCATTGCTCATGAAACGGCACAATCAGGTCTTGATAGCTTGTGGCAGCGTTTCCTGCGTAAATCATAATTGGTCGTTTTGTGAATGCATATCTTTAACTGTAAGTTGTCATAAACATTCAGGCAGTCGAGGAGTCATCTGATTTGTTAGATGTAGTCATTTGTAAGCCAAACCGATAACTCATTGGTCATAGGTCTTTTTGGCCGATTCATTAAAAGAATCGGCTCATAAGAGTCATTTGTTCATGACTCAAACTACACTAGTTACACTGTACATTTGTTTTCGCAAGCAGGTAGTGAAGACGTAATAGTATTAGGGCTGGGCGATATAGCTAAAAAAATATATAAACGATATGGATTTTATAATACAAATAGCAATGTGTAACATTTTACCATATTTAGTGCAACACTTTTATTTGTTCCCCACAAAATATTGTTTTTTCACTAAATGTTTGGAATTCTAAAATTATTGTGCACTGATTTTTCTAGAATAACTTTTGCTGCCGAATTATCGACTAACCTAGTTTATGATCAATTTTTTGTCATAGATTATAAATATACATAGGCCTATATTTTTCATATTTATTGTTTATTTTATTTTTCTTTATAATGAAGTAGTCTGTATCTAGTAGACTGTGAAAGAATGATTATTAGTTCCACACATAGAGATATATAAATTCTACATTTATTTAAATGGGGGAAAAAAACTTCACTGGTATCGGATCGGTATCGGTATTGGAGGCGTCCCTACTAAATAGTATTATTTCAAAGTACCTAGTCTTGTTTAAATTCAATCGTCTCCAAGATGCTTCAAGAAACCTTCCTACAAAGCTACCTGAGAAACTATGCGCAAGTGTACCTTGGACAAAAGCTGTTTTAAATGCAAAGGTTTGCTGAGTTTAATTTAATAAATTGATTCATTCATTGCGTTTTGAGAGAACTCCTAGTCCACAGGGAACAGTGGATTGGGGAAATCCAAATACAATCAGTGTGTTTTGATGATGTGTTTGAATACTCACCGGAGTAGCGGATTCGAAAGCCCTTGTGGCTAGAGGTGTGATCGAAAGACCAGTGCAGGTAAACCTTGTTTGCAATGCTAGTAATACTAAAGGGAGATGAATAGTTCCCACTCAGAGAAATGAGCAGTGGACTCTGTCTTGATGGACCTGCAGGATAAAGCAAAGCATAAAGTTCCCATGTATGTGATGCATCTCTGGTGCACAAGTATCAATTGTGAATTTAAAATGCATAAAATCGGATTTACTAAAAGTTGGAGTACATATGAACTTGAGAATCACCCATAACATTTTTTAAATAAAAACTAATTAAAAATAACCCACAACAATTTTTTTGGGTTTATATATATATATATATATATATATATATATATATATATATATATATATATATATATATATATATATATATATATATATATATATATATATATATATATATATATATATATATATATATATATATATATATATATATATATATATATATATATATATATATATATATATATATATATATATATATATATATATATATATATATATATATATATATATATATATATATATATATATATATATATATATATATATATATATATATATATATATATATATATATATATATATATATATATCATATTTTATTTCCATTTTTATTTTGAACTGAAAAAAAAAACTGCATCTCTCGCATCTCTCCCTGTCACTATCAGTAGACACATATCTTACAAACTTCAAATTGACATTTACTACCAGCAGTGATAACTGGTGTGTTTCTGTCACAACATAGCCTCTCCACCTCTCATTGTTAATGCTGAGTGACAGGGCTCTGTTCATAAACTTCACTGGCAGTACTTTCAGATCAGCTGAACTCTGATTCAGTCCAGAGGTGTGTGTGTGTGTGTATGTGTTAAAGGCCATTCCAGACGTCATGTTAGCGTCTGGGCCAAGCTGCAGGGAGGTAAAGGGATCTGGTGTGATCTGGCTGGATTTGGCATGTTGTGAAAAGCAAAGTCTGCTTCGTAGCGCAATGGGAGTTGAAAGCGTAATCAGCATTGAGCATGCCAGCTCCCCTCAGGAGTAGCTCACACTGCTCCCAGATGACACGCAAATACACACCAGCACAGGCGCTTTATCAGCCTCAGAAAAAAGTGTGTAGCACAATGTGACTCTGTGAGGCCCGGCTGTCATATACTGCACTCTCAGAAAAAAGGTACAACAAATGTACCTGTTTTCTGAGAGTGTGTTTTTGTTCATGTCTTTCTCTCTCTTTTTAACAATGCTTATTTTAAAAAAGTTTTAAAAAGTTTTTTTTTTTTATATTTGAGGTACTACAAGAATAAATAATATTTTTGGGAGAATTTAAAACTTTGACTATCTAACTTTAAGAAAACACTCAGAGAAGTAATGCCCAATACAATATACATTACCATTCAAAAGTTTGGGGTTAGTATGTTTTTTTATTTTTATAAACTAATACTTTTGTTTATCAAGGATGCATAAAATTGATTAAAAGTGACAGTAAAGACATAATATTACAAAATATTTTTATTTTAAATATATTATGTATTTTTTTAAACTTTCTATTCATCAAAGAACCCTAAACATATCATGGTTTCTACAAAAATATTAAGCAGCACAACAATTTTCTACGCTGACATGGTCATACGTTAGTTTGGGGATCATTAATAATTTTTTCTTGGGCATCAAATCAGCATTTTATAATGAGTCCTGAAAGATTATGTAACCCTGAAGACTGGAGTAATGGCTGCTGAAAAATCATATTTGCCCTCAAATAAATTAATTTGTTTAAAATATATTAAAACAGAAAATATGTATTTTAATTTGTAATAATATTACACAATATTACAGTTTTTGCTGTCTTAGTGAGCTAAAGAGACTTCTTTCAAAAACATAAACAAAAAAAACCTTCTCACCCTAAACTTCTGAAGGACAGTGTATGAACTTACTATATATGCCATATACATTTAATATTAACTGATGTTTACCTGTTTAACGAATGTTTCACAATATGTAACAAAACTGAATGATTTTCATTGTTTATTAAATTATATTACTGGCTACTGTAATCTTTTTTCATTTGCACTTTATTTTGTTCACTTTTTTTTTTTTTTTTTCATATATATTTTTTTTTTTCAAATGGCAAAATGTCGAATGCTGTACACTTTTTTAGGGGGGTGTTGCATGACTCAGCCATGGGCCACTTTAATGATGCTTAAAATGTGATGAGCCTCCATGTGTATAAGATGACCCTTCTGACCTGTAATCCACTTACTAATCTCAGTCTAAATGGGATCACTTTGACCCCAGCAAAGCCACTGACCTAAGACTGGCCCTGAACAGACCTCTGTTGGCTAAAGCAATTTCCTTTGCCTTTTACAAAAGGTTTTCACTGTGTAAAAGCAAAGGTCATCCCTTTTGGCCTCTCTTCAACTGTCTATCTTGCTCAACACAGCAAGGTCACCTGTGAGGTGTATGTCAGTAATTGTATTGGAAAGAGAAGAAAAAACAGCTCTTTGTGACCAAAAACCATGTCAGAACTAGTTTCGCTATGATATTTGTACCTTGATTCAATCTTATCATACAACTTTATTTATTTATGACATTAATATTGCTATAAAATATATACACAAAATATAACACTGTATAAACAAAACTGTTTTCAACATTGATAATATTAATAATTGTTTACTGAGCAGCAAATCAGCATATTAGAATGATTTCTGAAGGATCATGTGACACTGAAAACAAGCAATTGCTGCTGAAAACTGCAATCATATTTAACAATACTTTTTTTACTGTATTTTAATCTGGAATAAATACATCCTTTCTAAGCATAGGAGATTGCTTTAAAATATGAATAACCCAGCATTTTTACATTTTTAAACTGTAGTTTATAATACACATATGCAAACTTTTTAAAAATTGTTTTATGAATTTCTACAGTATAGCTTTTAAACTTACATTTACATTTAGTCTCTAGCAGACGCTTTTATCCAAAGCGACTCACAAATGAGGACAATAGAAGCAATCAAAACCAACAAAAGCGCAATAAAATGCAAGTGCTATGATAAGTCTTGGTTAGCCCAATGCACTACACGTAGCAAGGTTTTTTTTTTAAATATACAAATATATACACAACACACATCCATACACACACACACACACACACACACAAAGAAAACAAGTAGATAGAATAGAAAAAGAATATAGAAAGCTAGTGTATTTTTATTTTTTTTTTAAGAAAAACAAGCAGTTAAAAAACGAATAGAGAGTGATAGAGGGTCAAGTGTTATTTAAAAAAAAAAGAAAACCGATAGAATAGAATTAGAATAGAGAGTGCTAGAGTTAGAGGGTCAAATGAAGATGGAAGAGATGTGTTTTTAGCCGATTCTTGAAGATGGCTAAGGTCTCAGCTGCTCGGATTGAGTTGGGCAGGTCATTCCACCAGGAGGGAACAGTTAATGAAAAAGTAAACTATAGTGTACATTATTTATGGATGGATCGGCATGGTTCTTCATAAAACATCCTTAGGAAAATCTGTGATAAATCCACTCACCATCAAAGATCTCTAGCTCATCAAACTGTCTGCTGGTCTGGAAGTGTTCAATGGTGAAAGTGATGTTGTAACCTGAATCCACCTTCACCACCCAGGAGCAGGACTCAAAGTGCGGCAGGCTGCTGCCCGGTGACTGACTCAGGATTATTCCCGTGGAGGCTGTCAATACCTCATTCATAGGACAGGTAACTGTGAGAAAGACAGACAAGAGGTAGTTCAGCTCAATACATTATTACATACAAATTCCAGGAAACAAAAGCATTTTCTTTTGACTTTCCACATCTATACATCAGCAATGGTAGCCGTGACGTAAAATGCTAAGATTTAGCTGTTAAAGACAGCTTCAGAACTATTATACTCAATTGCCCAAGGAATACATGAAAGAAACCTTTACCAAAAAAACACAATTACAGATCTATAGCTTCATTCAATATGATGCTTCAGATGCAACAGAAAGTGTGCGGCCTATTGATCACCCAACAATTCAAGGCCCAATACAGTCTTGCATGTACATGCCTTTGGTAAAGCACGTCGATGATAACACAAAGCACCCCAGGCCAGTCTGTCATGACACTGAGAGGATTGATCACTGTTGTTCGCACAGCTGTAACGCCTGGCTCAACCCCTCAGTCTGCAGTTTCATCTCTCAGTCATTGATATTCCTCAGAGGCCCGCTGTGACATTTCCCCACACTTTTACCTTGAATTACCAGGTGTTATGCAGTGGCCCGTCTTGGGCGCTTCTCTCAAATCTCGGAAGCCTGTCTCTTATATCTGCAGCTGTCGGAGTACAAAGCAAGCATCCAAATGCAAATCATAACATAAAAGGATAAACCCTCATCTGACACAATTCTATTATTTTGTCTCATTTCTTCCGCATGACGTGGATGACATGGATGAGAGGCCGCGTACGGCATGTCTGAAGCCGAACCCCGTATCAGACAGGAAGGGATTGTTATTATCAAATATTTATGACACTTACGTTTCGGATATGAAATATGGATTTTCTATTACTTGTCTTGCTAAATAAACACGCTGCTGTTTCAGAGCTCCGCTGGTGTGAATACTTCATGATTGAGTTGAGATCTGAATGAGATTATCACGATGGAAGAATTGAGAATTTCTAACCTCACCGCTCACCTCTGCTTATCAGAATATCGATGGATGCGGTGCGCTAAAACCCTGTAAATAATATGACCCACAGTAAACAGTTTTGCTTCTATATTTGGCCTCTTTAATTGGTCTTTTAGTCAGTCGTTTAGCACCTTAATTGACTAACATTTAAGCCCACGGGTCTGTGGACTGATTAGGATGGACGTTAATCAAAGCAATAATTTCATGCATGCTGTGCACTGTCCGGCTTTACGTGTCAAACCTGAGATAAGTTATTCTTATAATTACATTCAGGTTCACAGTCCAGTGAATTGCTCCGGTGACAATGATTAAATTATAAAAAGTTGCTTTGAGAATTGATATGATGTAAATCACACTTGTGGTTTCTGGTTGAGATTGAGCTTGAGCTCGGTGGATACGCAGGGACGATACGGTTGGTGCTTTGACACGTTTCCTTTACGAGGGTAAAATATAGAGGCTCTGGGACTGGCTACAGAGCTCGGAGGCGATATAAAATCTGAATGCGCTTTCATTGGAGGACAAACATTATCATGGATGCATATCGATGCCCGTTTGAGCCTATCATCACTGCATAAAGCCTAATGCGCTCAAGTAAAAAATACACCGCCAATAACCTACATCTGTGCATCCTGGAGCTCAAGCTCACAAATTACATTCTGTAAAGTGTGAGCGTGGGTGTTATGGATCTTTATTTGCTGCCGCATACTGCACTTTGAAAGCTGGCTGTTAACCTATAACAAACAAAGATGTACTGTAAAGCAACGAACTGATAGATATGACAAGTCTTTTGCGAGCATGTTTAATATATCATAACAGTTATAGGCCTTTGCTATATTCTTGATATTTACATTGTCAGTATATTCATGTTTAAATCAGTTTATACTGCAAAACAGAGGGCTACATTATATATAATATACTGTATATTCTATGGAGAGGTGGAGCAGGTATGACAATACAGTAGAAATACTGTATATATCAGTACTTTTTTAGCTGGAAATTGAATCAGTTTAATGTTTTATGTACTTAGATGTATTGATTACTGGGTGATTTCAAATACCAAATACTATTCTAAATACTAAATATTTAATATGAAATAAAACTTATTTTTAATACTTTTTATACTTTATTATATTTTATTTTAATACTATCATTGTCAATGACTTTTTTAAAAAGTCTCATGCTGATGAGTGCTGAATTTATCTGATAAAAAAAAAGAATAATATTGTGAAATATTATTACAATTTAAAATACCCTCTTTCTCTTTGGATATATTTTAAACTGTAATCTATTCCTGTGATAGCAAAGCTGAGTTTTCAGCATCATTACTCCATTCTTCAGTGTCACATGATCCTTCAGGAAGCAGTCTAATATGCTGATTTGCTGTTCACAAAATATTTCGCATTATTATCATGTTATGTTAAAAAAAGGCTGTGCTGCTTAATATTTTTATGGAAACAGTGATACATTTTCAGGATTATAAAAAAAAAAAAAAAAGCATTTATTTGAAATGCATGTATAGTCACTGTTCATTAATTTAATGCTCCTGAATTAGGGCTGCAAAACGATTAATCGCATTCAAAATAAAAGTTTGTTTACATACTATATGTGTGTACTGTGTATATGTATTATGTATATATAAATACACACATGCATGTATATGTAAATATTTTTTATATAAATCTAACCTTTTTTTTTTTTACTTAATATATACATGTACAGTATGTGTGTGCATTTATATATAAATATACACAGTACACACACATTATGTAAACAAACTTTTATTTTGAATGCAATTAATCGCGATTAATCGTTTTGCAGCCATATCCTGAATGAATGAATGAATCACCCCAAACTTTTGAATGGTGGTGTATGCATGTCATCAGTGCAAAATGTAACACTTGGGTTAAAAGCAGAATAACACAGTGAACAACGGCTCTGTTTAGTTAATGCTGCTCAATGTGAAAGCCCGCAGGTGATGGAGATTTACCGCTGATTAAAGAACCGGCTTTCTGACAAGATGCGCGTTAAATATCGCATGCGATTTATCGTGCAGCCCTAATATATACATATATATATATATATTGTACTAAAGCAGAATCTCTTCTGGCTGATGCATTTCTACCATCACACTACCCAGCCCTAATTCCATTCTGCCCCAACAAAATAGGGGAGAGCATGACCCTCTAGACAGCATCTCAGACAAAATCCTCATCATCCCAGGCCTTTCACTATGGCGGCAAACGGAAATTAGCTCGCTCAGGTCGCCCTTATCCCCTAATCCACTTTGAAATGGACTGTCAAAGGCTGAATGTAAACAACAGTTTTGGTGGCAGATTCTGACAGAGGAGGAGAAGGCATGTCAAAACTGCTCCTCTAACAATGGCAGCTGAAGATTATCTACTGTACAAGACGGGCTGGCATCTAAAAAGGGATTTTCAACTGAAAATGTCACCCTTCGTGACAATGAATTGCAAATATGGCCCCCACAGAAATATACATTCAGAAAATGGCAACATACAGCATTAATTTCATTATGTCAAAGAAAGGGATAAATGTCACACGCAAATTGTCAATGTAGGTTTGTTTTCTGTTCACCACAGACAGTTTTCACATAATTGATCATTTGTTAAGCTCCGCCCACTTGGTTACTGTTGCTAGCTCAGGCTGAATGTCCAATAAGAATTAGGTCTCTTCAAACACTGCAATCAATATGAATCAATACATATAATAACTAACATTCTGTTGGTAGTATGAAGTTAAAAAAATTTTGCCAATGTTTTGCGTGTTCATTTCATAAATAGTTTCCACCCACAGCATGAACTTTAAGATTTTCTTTAAATATTTGAAAGATGTGAAACATTTTTTAAATACCCTATTTTTGGATCATTTACGTCAAATTATGTTTAAAACAATTCAAACATACAGATTCTCCACAGATTTTGACAAAAGAAAAGATCAAAAGCTTGTCTGATAAGACGAAGCAGTTGCAAAGGTAGATTATTAGCCAGAAACATTTGTAAGGGTCAGTTAAGGACTATTTTGTCCAATTACATGTCTAGTTGCTAGTGCTTTATAATTAATAGGGAGATATTAACTGACTGAAAATAACTTGAATGAGTAATGTTTTGAAACATCGGAAGCTGAAAACATAAACATACACACATTTATTACATAAGCACTGACTGTCTGAAAATGAGGAAGAGCAGGATTTCAAAATGAATAAGAGATGTGGAGATATTTTCACCATTTGTTAGAATTCAGAAGATTTATGTGTATGATGTGTGTTCATGTGAGTTTTCACATGCATTCAGTGACATATAATACATATCTATAAAAAAATATATCATATATAATACATAAACAGATTAATATTTAATATAAATTCACAGAATTATGAATAAGAGGAAAATGCTGCAAATAATTCTAAATTATTGAATAATATGAAAGAAAACAGCACTTAAATGCCATCAGGAGAAAAAATGCTTTGGGATTTTAATATCACCATGGTGACAGAAGGGTGGAATAACAAAATCAACATGCATGTGTGCATGACATTCTGTGCGTCACTGATAAAAAGCATATTTTATTTAAGTATAAACACTGAAAGTCTAGAGAGTGTGTGTATGGCTTATGGAAAAGTAGTTACGTGTGAGGTTCTCCTACCCTTAATTTGCATAATGGCATGTGATGCACTCTCAGCATTCACAGATCTATTTTCTCTCTCCGAGTATGAGAGATACGAAAAACAAGAAAGCGAGGGGAACACTGAGAGAAAAAGGGAAGACAAAGCAATGCAGCATAAGTGTTTTTAAATGGGACTGCCTTTATGATTGGCTTTGGCTAGACAACTTGAACCAGGGTTATCATAACCAGGAAACATATGTGACCCTGGACCACAAAGTCTTAAGTCGCTGGGGTATATTTGTAGCAATAGCCCAAAATACACAGTATGGGTCAAAATTATAGATTTTTATTTTATGCCAAAAATCATTAGGACATTAAGTAAAGATCATGTTCCATGAATATATTTTGTACATTTCCTACTGTAAATATATAAAAACGTAATTTTTGATTAGTAATATGCATGGCTAAGAACTTCATTTGGACAACTTTAAAGGCGATTTTCTCAATATTTAGATTTTTTGCACCCTCAGATTCCAGATTTTCAAATAGTTGTATCTCAGCCAAATATTGTCCTATCATAACAAACCATACATCAATGAATAGCTTATTTATTCAGCTTTCAGATGTATAAATCTCAATTTCGAAAATTTGACCATTATGACTGATTTTGTGGTCCAGGTTCACATATATAACAAATCAGAAAAAAAAATAAATAAATAAATAAATAATTATCAAGCATCTTCTTCTCATCAAGCACTTGTCACTTAAACACAGGGTTGGATTTGAAGAGACTGGCACAAGTCTATCATGTTTATGTGTATGTCTGATTATGTCTGCAGAAGAAACAGGAAGTTCTGGATTGGATTTCTTGCATAAGAGGAAGGTTGAAAGAAGTAAGGAGAGATATTTGATGGAAAGCAAGACATGGTATGATGTATTCAACAAGAGGATGTGACAGATCAGATGTCAGGTACGTACAGAGAACGAGAGAGAGAGAGAGAGAGAGAGAGAGAGAGAGATGGGGAGAAGCTGTGATTTAATAGCTGGGTGCACCTGCAGCCTGGATATCCTCTGCATCTCAATGAGCTTCGCGTTCCCCTCTACCCATCACTGTCCTTCCACTCTACTCATTCAATCCCTCAGTTTTTCTCTCCGTATTCTTGCTCACACTTTCACTTGTTTTTCAGGATCACAGAAAACAAATCTGTCCTTAAATCAAATATCAACATTATCAATTGTCATTATATTAGGCCAATAATTGCCATTAAATGTAATTATGCACAAGCCAATGTTATTCTTAATATATGTGAATATATTTAATGTTGTCTGTTTTTTTGTTTTTTTTTGAAGATGAAAGCATATCACAATCTGTCCATGTTGGCATTTGAACAAATTGGCTAGATCCTACCACATGAAAAGAATTCATCAAAATACCATACAATTTGATTGAATGCGTAGCCTTTGACGTCAACAACAGGAAAGACTATGAAAGGTTACAGATATTTTGTCCTTGCTTTTGCCCCTTTTTGGTACAGTGTAGCCATATGGCAACATATAATTTTCTTTTACTTTCTCGAACAAATTGCATTGTTGGAATTAAAAGGGCAGATTTTGAAGAACACAAATAATAAGCTGTTTTTTGAACCCACATGACATTTGATTTCCTCCTAAATACTGCAAAGTGCTCTATTAAATAGGGCTACTATCAAAATGCGCATGACAATCGCATTCGATTAATCGTGCAGCCCTACTATTAAAGCACATTTTTTACAATTCTCATACATCAGGATTTTAAATGCATCTTTGATTAGATAATTAGATGTTGTTACCCATTACCACTGAAGATGAAAACAATATTGAAAAATAAATGATAAAGGTTTGGTCAATCTGAGTTTGTAGTGTATACAAAACTTGTTTGATTTTCAGTTGTGGTGCAGTTGCCATATTTCCCAAGGTAGTTGCCCTTTTTTCCCCTCAAAAAACCTTTTACTTTTGTTACTGGACCTATTTTATGGGGGAAAAAAATACATTGTAAATAGAACCCATTCAACAATGTGTACTATGTAATTTAAGCGCATTTGTTTTGGTAACTAAACTTTACGCAAGTAAATGGTCACATTTTGTTATTCATGTTTTTCATTGTCTTCCCTGTTGATCCTATCAGAACAGACCTGTTTCTCTCAACAAATGACTGATATAAAGTATAAGATCACTTTCTTCCTCCTCCTCCTCCTGTCTCATTCCACCAGTCCCTCAGTCTTTCCTGTTTCTTTCCCTCTGGGGTTTTTGACGAGGCAGGCATACTTAATGTGAGTGACAGCCAGAGGCAGCACCCTGACCAAATGGAGCGGGTGTCAGCTGCCTATGTTGGCCCTCAGTATAAGGGGCTTTTCATATAGCCGAAGCAATTAACTGTCGACACCTAATTAATGTTAGGATGAATTACAAAGCTTCAGAGAGAGCACTCCACCATGAAGGTTGAGGAGGTACATGTTTGGGCCTGCTATACTATATAAAAAAATATATAACAAATCTAATTATGTGTCCTCCCTCTTCACACTGCCCCAAACCTCAGCCTCTGCCCGACATATGCTTAAGCTGGAAATGATAAAGCTTGTCTATTTTTGTTTCTTCTTTTTTCTAAAGGCCTTAATCAATTTCCGCCAAACAGCTGTACTGCAGCCAACAAATTGCTTCCAGTGAACAAACAGCTCAACTACTTTTTATTTACATCATAGATGAGGCCAAACACAGGATGTATGTCTTGATATATAATGAGGTCCAAAATATGATACCACATTGTAAAACTGGGATTCATAATGCTATTTAAACTGGGAAATAAACAGTTTTAAACATTTTGTTTTAAATACTGTTGATTATATTATTTCTAATGGCAAAAGGTTTTTCAAATAGAAAAACGCCTATTAGAAACATTTTCATTAGTGGTCTCAGACTTCTGAACTTTACCGTATACATAATGGGACAATCAAAGGAGGCCTTTCAGTCAGACCTACTGTACGCAGTGAAGGCTAGTACAGAGAGATCAGAGAGATAATTCTTCTACACTTAGAGCAGAGAGATAAACATAATGAGGAGGAACTGAGGGAGTTTATGGGAAATGCCATATCAAATCACATAAAAGCAGCTGGAGGAAAGGTAGATGAGCGTTTAGCATACTCATGGGGTTTGCTTGACAGACTCTGAGGTATTTCATCCCACCTCTAAGCCAATAGCAATAATGAAGCTTCATATAGCACAGAACCAACTATCATGATCAATAGACCCATCATGCATTGCAACACAGTGGGGGTATATTTTATAGTATACTGTATAAACTGAAGGACTGGTCTTTTGTAAAATGCAGAGGGGGGAAGTCACTAAGAATGTTTTAAAATGCTTATGGTTAGTGAATACAATGCACATATTCACATCAAAGTTCTACTGTATGGTGCAACTGTTTAGTGAATTCACCCCAGTGAGTAGTTTAACCAAACAATTTAACCAAAAATGAAATGAAAATGACTTTTTTTTTTTTTTTTCAAAAATGGATATAATGCAGTAATGGAGCCTAAATGGACATCACTGGATTCCACTGACTTCTATTGTATGGATAAAAACAGTTTAAATGCAGAAAGAAGAAAGGATGATGTTTCATGATATCTAAAGCTGGTTTAGGTTAGTTAGGTGGTGGTTTAGCTGGCATAATCATGTCAAAACCCAACCAAATTGGTCTTTATCATTAACCTGGTTGACCAAGAGTCTTAGTGGTTAAGCAAAAGAAAAATACCATACTGGGGACCACAAACACTATCAAGAGATCTTCTGCAAGTCAAAAAAACATTGTAGCTTACTATCACATGAAGGTGGAGGTCCTTCAAACTCAAGATGAGTCCCCAGACGACAAGTCTGAATGCTGTTCCCATTCAGATGATATCCTGGGAGACATCTGTACCGCACAATATCACCTGTGGAAAGAGAAAGAGTGAACAGATGAAATATTCATCATTGCCTCATCAATTGTCTTTCAGATGCACGTCATACTTCTGAAATATTATGGAGAACATGGGATTTCTGAGGAGCTCGAAACAACAGGAGCAACATCTGGCTGTTCCTGCTGTTGCCTCACTCATGAATTGTTGAAGGCCATGTCCTCTCACAGTCTCGCTTAATGGCTGACAGTGACGGTAAAAGAAAAAAAGGGAGAAGGAAAGAGGCTAAGGGAGACTCGACGTGCCGGCGCTGCATTGCAGTGTAATTAAGGAAGCGCCACACAGCATGGTTTACATTCATAACACCCATCGGCTGCTACCTGAGGGCCGCTCACATCTCAGAAGCGGGACAAAAACACCTTGTGGTTTTTTATAATACAGCATTTAACTTCGCTGAAATAATGGAACACAAGCTAGAGCAGAAAAAAAGAGGCTTTGCATGCTTTGAAAAAACACATATAGGAATGTGTTTGTGGCTGTGAGAGCATGCGTTCATGGCCATCCGAACACTGCATGCTTTGTTAATTCACTGAATTAAGCGAATTATTTGGATGCGGTGGATTATCAGTGATCAACAGTGATTCAGTGCAGGTTAGTGCCAAAGACCATGACTGCTTTAACCCCGACAGAGGCTCTACAAACACGCTCCATTCCAGAGAGATCAAACAACCCTGCACCGACCCGTAACTACCCATTTAGAACAATTAATATCAATGAAAGCATTTTTTCCCATGGCAGAAAAGCAGTGCATTGATTTAACAATGGATTTCAGAGGCGACAGAGGCTGGTGAGTCGTCATTAGAGGACCAGTGAGGTCACGATTGCATTATTATTTGCAAGTGTTTTTTTTGTGGGCACTCAATTGAAGGTGAAAACAACAGCTTCAATACATTTTTCAAAAGATTTAAGGGGAACAAAAGTTAATTAATAATAATAAATAAATATTAATGATGATAAAATCTAGCACAGGTGCCAAAGCCAAAATTTGTAAATAATAATTTGTGTTTATATATATTCTAATAAAATATTAGTAGCAGTGTTGTTGTTGTTGCTGTAGGTAGAATGTTGTAGTTACGACTAAACTAATATCACTAATTTCATTATAAACAAATATCTGAGTCTAAAAATCCTACACTTCTTCAAGCTCCGCTTTTTAGTGTCCTTTGCACAAAAATCAACAATCAACTTTCAAGTACACAGTACATAATTTCCTGTGATTGTGATTATTATTATTTAAGTAGCACAAACAACATTTGTGCTGCCTATGCACATTAAAAAAGTCTTTGTAAAAGCACTTCATATACAGTAGGTATATATGCTGAGCATCTGAATTTTTTTTGTTCAGAGCACCATGTGGCAAATCATGTGTGAAATATTAACTGCATTAAGTATATTTTGCCACAAATAAGTATATTTAAGATTTTATGAGAGCTGGAGTTTCACAGAGAGATTGGATAGCATAGAATGTGCTAAGAAAAACAGCTAAATAATAACAAAACAAAAAATGAAGCAAAACTCAAGCTTAAAATAAATATTTAGGGCAGGTACATTTTTCAAATCACCTGCTATAGGAATGTGTCACAACCATTTGAAATACAATACAAAAATGTATACTTAATAAATAATATAGCTTCTGTCTGCTTTTGTGTTTGCACAAAATGTAAACTCTACCTATGTTCGAACACCATGCACAACACAACATCACAACACAGCCTCTGTTTTGAATTCTGGCAATGAGTCAGCATATCAGCATGGCCCAATGGGACTGGTAGCCTTGGCATCTGAGCGGTTTTCTCTCCTCAAAGTGAGTTCTCGAGGGGTGTTAGGGGTGGGGGGGAGGTGTGTGTGTGTGGCTGGCTCTGCTATTCTGGGAACATTATTAATGAGAGCCGCTCAAGCCTGAAAATGAACTGGCAGCATGCTCAAAATGTTCCACTTATACTGGGCCAGGCCGAGTCCACCAACACAAACGCACACAAGCAGGCATACAAATCAGATTGTAAATGATGTAAAATCAATTCAAACTCACCTATTTTAAATTCTTTACTGGCCATCAGAATTTCGGCATTGGGAATTATGGGAGGTGGCAAACAAAACTGAAGTCTATAGGCTAGAAGAAAGAAAGACAAAGAGGCAAAGAGAAAAGAGTCAGACATGTCATATTGCACTGTTGTATCCATTGTTAAAGTAAAGAACAGTTCTACATGACACAAAGTGGAACTATTGGGACATCGGTTCATGGGTTTAATGGTTTCAGGGTTTAACTGAATAGCTAATAGCTAATATTCCCATTAGCCCTTGCTGGCAGAGGCAGTAACTAAATTGAAATGCATGTATTGTACAAGTGGTCATTTATTCTGACCATTTTTTCCCCAAACACCATTTTTACAAGTTTTTCATTGTATTATAGTAGATGTTTGACCAGTTCTCATATTTGGAGGGCTCTTAAGTATGACATGTCTGTTGTGGTGTCAGTGTTGTCATATAATAATTTTCCTTTGACTCCACTGGTTTGAGGAAAAAAAAAAAAAAAAACAGTATTCGGTTTAAAGTACCCATGCAGTGTCCAAATTTTCATGGTCTTGGTCTTGTCATGAACTCAGGTACATTTGACTGGGACTGGAGATCAAGTCTGGTCAACACTGCAGATTAATTTCATAATTCATTCAGACCCTCTTCTTGACTCGCAATTGACCCTCTTTAGGTGTCAGTCTTCAATCTGACTCAACCAACTCAGGTCTTGGCCTGGACTTGGACTCAAATGAGCTGGTCTCAACTACAACTCTGCAATACTTGTTCAGTCACAAACATCCACAGAGTTCTGCCTCAATCAACAAACTGCTATTTAGATGCATGAGAATGCTAATGGTAGCTTTGACTTGGACTAGTTACCTTGATAGTTGATCTTGAACAGTCCACCTTTCTCAGAATTGCTTCGGAAACGTATTAGAACGTGATTAGATGTGCTGCTTGGTGGGTTGTTGGGGTCTCCCTCGGTAAACACTCCAAGTTTGCGAGCTGTTTCCTGCGGTCCGTCCCTGTTTAATATTCAATATTAAAATTCAACATATAAAACCCGCTAACATTGCATACTCAGTGCTACAGGAGAACACCACATGCCTTGTTGCCTAAAAATGCACAGTAAGTCAGATCCCACATATATTGATCACCAGGCTGATTTGAGAGGCATTTCTCTGCATATTGATTACTTTACTGATTTCAGAGACGATTCTAGCCATACTGATTTCCAAGACTCTTCTCACACTCTCTTAGGGAGTGTGCTACGTTATCTCTAGCTCAGGTCAGACTCGGCCTCTCTGTCAAGACGTTGTAAAACCGAAGTCACCATCTACAAGGACATCACCTAGTGGGCTTACCTCAATCTTTACAGCCCTCTAATGGGGAGTGAACAACTTGGCGCCAACCTAATCCCAGTTTTAACCATGACCACTCAGCTTCAAAACAATCTGTTAGTGGCTGCCTGAGCTTGTGCTACAGATTACATCCTGTCTTGATGGAGCTTTTCTTGGCTGTTCTGGTTATACTGTACCTCTAGGTTGACTTGAAGTGCATGTAAAAGTAGGGAAAGATCAATGCTTCCTCAGTTAATCCAAACAGAAATTTGCAGTCTCAAGAGAAGCAATGAATTTCGAGAAGACGTGTGCTTAGACTGCAACTTTTGGCCTACCATGTTTTAGGGTGAACCTGAGACAGGGTTCAAAGTCCTTCCTGTATATACAGGCCTCAAGCGACTCACCACAGAGGCTCATTAATTAATCACCAGTTTTAGTGATTAGTGACCGTGCTATAAATATGTTCCCTCCCCAAAAGGAGAGTGACTGAGAGAGAAAGAGAACCTGACAAGGTGCAGAAGGATAATCGCAATAGGAAGTTTGACAACTCACCAGACTGTGATGAAATCTTGGGGGCCATGGACTTGCAGGAGGGTAAAATTAAGACGGATACCCAGGCCGTGTGCCACCGTAATCAGCCAGCTGCAGTCCGCAGAAGTGGGGTAATCCTCTGGGTAACCGGGGGAGAAGATAGTGCCATTGTCTGATGTAATGTTACCTCCGCAGGGCACTAGAAGGCAAAAATGAACATGTAGAAATGGAAAAACTTTTTGTAGCAACCAAAGATTAAAGAAACGCCATCACGGAAAGCAGCCTTGCACAGAAATGTATTACAGCACACAGGGAATGGTGGAAAAAGCAGGAACCAGGGCAGGGCGACATGGGTGAAAATCCCCACTGGGTTCTAAAACACCACTCAGTCTTTCCCAGTAGTTCACTTTCCTTGTCCGACTCCATCATACAAATCCCTCTTGGAGCAGTGCTTTGCATTTAAATAGACGTGTCCATCTTTCCAATTATTCAAATGAGCCCCAGACATATGAAATCAAATCCCCTTCCTTTCCGTGCTGATCCCATGCTGCTGCTGCCCCAAGTTGGAGGGGAAATAATCAATACGATTCGACTGGCGAAATACAGCTAGGCCCATGACTTGTACGCACACGTAAGGACTGTCGTAATACACTCTCGCTCTGACTGTACTCTCAGCAGTTTCTTGCACCGTCAAGGTCTCGCCGTCCCCACATCCCTCCCCACTCGTTCCCGCCCTCTCAATCCTTCCTGCACTCTTTCCTCCTTCTTCATTTCCTCTCGTCTCCGATGGAATGCTGAGAGGGGCGCCTATGTTAATCCCTCGTGCCGTGTGCTCTCTCTCGCCACCTTACTTGCTAAATGAAGTATCGATCACAGCATTGATTTAAAAAAACATGCCACGCTATCAAGCAGAAATGCATGGTGACGCTATCGATTGGGCAAAAAAAGTTTAGTAGTGAGGTGGGATGGGAGGATGTGGGGTTGTGGTGAACTAAAAAAGAAGAGAGAGCCATAGATGGAGGACAGGCCAAGTAGGCTGATATGGACAGGTGGGGCAGAGGAAGAGAAAATCGATCAGCTTTCTAATGCCTGGGAGAGGAAATCTATGTACATGACACCCTGGGCATGAACTATTGGTGGCAGCATTTGTAGGTGATAGCCAGGGCAGTAGGGGTGTGAAGTACTTATAATTTTAAAATGTTATTAAAATTTATACTATACTTCTATTAGCAACTGTACTATAATTCTATTAGTACGAGTTTGTGCTTTACTTGAGTTCCTGATGTATGTAATGCAATTTAAAACAACCTATAAAGTGAATTTCAGTGTAAAATGTAATAAGCCACAACTATTATAATTTGTGCTTCTAAAGAGACATCTCATCAGTCACCACAGCATAAAGTCTTTGACCTAAACCAATGCACTGTTAGAGCAGCTTTTTACTATCGGTAAAGATGGACAAACTTGACTTGCATGTGTGTGAGTGTGCGCATGGTCAACGATCAGGCTATAAACAATTATATTCAAAAGTCAAATGAATACACTACCACTCAAAAGTGTTTGAACAGTAAGATTTTTAATGTTTTTTAAAGAGTTCTCTTCTGCTCACCAAGCCTGCATTTATTTGATCCAAAGTACAGCAAAAACAGTAATATTGTGAAATATATCTACTATTTAAAATAACTTTTCTATTTGAAAATATTTTAAAATGTAATTTATTCCTGTGATTTCAAAGCTGATTTTTTACATCGTTACTCCAGTCACATGATTCTTCAGAAACCATTCCAATATTCTGATTTGCTTCTCAAAAAACATTTATTATTATTATGTTGAAAACAGCGGAGTCAAATTTTTTCAGGTTTCTTTGATGAATAGAAAGTTCAGAAGAACAGCATTTATCTGGAATAGAAACCTTTTGTAACATTATAAATGTCTTTATCATCACTTTTGATCAATTTAAAGCATTCTTGCTAAATAAAAGTCTTAATTTCTATAATTCCACCCTACCCCCCACCCAAAAAAAATTCTGACTCCAAGCTTTTGGATGGTATATTGTATAATGTCACAAAAGCTTTTTATTTAAGATAAATGATGATCTTTGGATCTTTCTATTCATCAAAGAATCCTGAAAAAAAAAAACTCAACTGTTTTAAATATTGATAATGATAATAATAAAAATGTTTCTTAAACAGCAAATCAGCATATTAAAATAATTTCTGAAGGATCATGTGACAATGATCATGTTGAAGACTGGAGTAATAATGCTGAAAATTTAGCTTTGATCACAGGAATAAATTACATTTGAAATATATTCAATATATTCAAATAGAAAGCAGCTATTTTAAATAGTAAACACATTTCACAATATTACTGCTTTTGCTGTATTTTGGATCAAATAAATGAAGGCTTGGTGAGCAGAAGATAATTATTTAATAGATATAAAAAATCTTACTGTTCAAAAACTTTTGACTGGTAGTGTATATAGTCAGCCTTGGCTGAATTTAGCCTTTAAACTTATTATGGTATGGGTTTATTATATGAATACAATGATACAATTCTAAATAATCAGGATGCTTGAAAATATCCATTGTCTGTTGATTTTTTCAGTATTAAAAGCTATTATAAAAATCTAGCTGTGCCTTTACAACCTATCAGAAATGTAATTTACCAGTTAAGCGTCCACTAAAGCTGAATAATATTTTTCTGAGGTACTTAAATATTATAGGAGGAGACATTCAAGCACCTGCGATGGTCTAAAAGAAAAGAAAAGAAAAAAAAGCTGAACAAAAGAGTCTCATCTTTCATCTTTTGGTCTTGACAGTGTGCATATTACACAGCATGGGAGTGTAGTGCATCATATCTATTCTTCCCTTTTTCACTCTGTCACACCAGAGCTCTCGATTACTACAAATTCAATTATGCACAGTGCAAGAGTGTTTTAACAAGGCCCAGGTTGATACTAAGATATTCTTTGTGTGGATTATTATAACACAAAGTGGATGAATAATGTGTGTTTCTATTTGCGGGTTCACCTGTGCAGCAGTGCTGGGCAAAGCACCGGCGCCTGAACGAGGCGACGAGGCTGCAAATGCTATGTCAGCCTCTTGAGTACCTCCCTGGATCGTCTTTATTCTCACACGAGCATTCAGCATCCCCTGTGCATGTTTCCTCGTGACTCGCTGCATAATTAACTCATTGAATGAACAGAAAAATGAGCATGAGAATGTGGGTCAATGATGAACTTGATTAATTTCCCATCATCCCCTTGGAGGAGATGTTAGAAAGAAGTCATTGAGTCTGTAGGGATGGTTCACAGTGAAGAATTTGGATTTATGTGCAGTTGCCCTCCTTGACCACACATCCAACGCAGGAGTGACGATGGGAAGAACAAAGCTATTAATTAAATATACATAATACCGTATTTGCTAGTAGTTAATTATTTATATATAGACTATTTTATGTTACTTTTTGCTATTTGTGAAGCTTGAGAGCCGCTGTTCACCATTCACTTGCATTGTAAAAAAAAGAGCAGCATGAACATGCTGTGAAACCTCTCCTTTTGTGTTCAACGGGAAAAAGAAAGTCAAACAGGTTTGGAACGATGTGAGGGTAATTAAATGATGTCAGAATTTTCATTTTGGGGTGAACAACAACTTTAAATCTTGCATTTATTTTCAATCAATGAAATGTGTCACATTCAAATGTGTAATGACATTGACAATGTATAGTTTATTAAATTTGACATAAAACTAGGTTAGTTACTATATATAACTGTCCTCTCAGAATGCAAATAAGCATACCAGATGTTTACTGATGTGGGGGAGGAAATGGAGGGGGTTGTACCTTCACAGCGAGGAAACGGATGATCCCAGTTGCGCGTAGTGCCATGTTGACAGGTAAGAATGGAGTGTCCCATCAGCTGATATCCTGGATAGCACTCAAAGGAGATGGACTGACCCACATTATAACCAGCCCCAACCACCACACCATTGTGAAAGGGTTCAGGATCAGGACACTCTTGAAGTTCATATGCTGGAAAAGACCAGACATATTGATAGATGAAAGACAAGGGGAAGAAAATGTATTATTTATTTTTGAACCTGCTAGAAGAAAGCCAGTTACACATGCATCTGTTGTGACATGACGAGTGCATCTTTTGTGACACCTCAAAGAAATCAACTTTCATCAAAAAAAACGATTGCTCTGAGCTCCAAGTACCAATCTAAACTTAGATTCTGTGAATTTTACATGTAAGCCATATGCATGGAATCAACTGATTGCTGTACACCAACAAAGCATTGGGATTTGATTCAAAGTAGATGCAATCAAAGCTCTGGCAATAACAATGCTGTCACTTTTTCTCAGATATGCAGGTCTCAAATTCATGGCAATGCAACCAAGTGATCAATGTCCACTGCAGGCAGTGAAAGCACCAAAACACATTAACATCACCACATTCTGTCTCCGGGTCAAGATGTTTTTCTTGGGTTTCTTCATTTTTTTCCCCTGTCTATTTTCCTCCATTATGTCTTTCAAGTCATTCTGAAGAAAAGTTTTGAAATAAAAATTCATACACATTCCTTTCATTAGTTCTGCCTGAGTCTGGAGCCATTGTCAAAAGTTTTCCAAGTTATTTTTTCCAAATCTCATAGACAGAAAAGGAAATACGCTGAAGCTTTGAGGCTGAATGACCATGACTAAAGAAATTGATTTCTGTAGATCAGAGCATCTTTGGTAACAAGGGTATACTGCCGGATATAATGCTTGATTTATATGCTAATGCACACATAATTATGTAAATACAGATTTCAGTCATTTCAATACTGCAAACTGTCATTGCATTATAGTGTAAATTCTGATAGCTTTCACGGATCCATCCTAGAAAAGGCCATTTCTATGACACAATTTTAAATTCACTCATTGGACTCATATTCCACTTTGCATTCTGGCATCAGCAGCATTTTATACCTGATGGATTTTATGCACAGCTTCACAGAGAATGGCTTATTACCGTGTTTACTCGTTATCTTGACTGATTGTCTTGGCAAGGTATTGAAAATGACATTCAAATTGAGGTTCCTGAGAAAATAAATGTGCAAAGGCGGAACTGCAACAACAATGCTAACTACAACAATATGTGAAGGTTTTTTTTTTTTTCCTTCAGTAAAATGGTTAAACTTGGTCAAAACTTTTTCAGTTTTTATTTTTTAGTTTCCTTACCCTGATAATCAAATCTGAAGCCAGGTTTATTCTGAGAGTGGTCGCTATGAAAATATATAGTAGTCTCATGGGAAGTGGTTAGAAGAGATGGTGGTAAGTCCTGCCCACTGAATCTGCCAATCACTGTGCTGGTGTCAAAAGGCCCATTCCTAATTTCCAGGAAATCGTGGTTGGCCTCAGTGGAAAAGTTCAAGAACTGCACATGAGCCCCTGTTTGGATGATAAAACAAGATGTGTTTAGTAAAATCAGTGGCATCCCAGTCAGTTTGCTAACAGATAACAGAAATGAACAATTTAGATTATTTAGCTTAAATCTTGTCCAGCTAATGTGCATGTATGATCTATGCTAAAAATGAAATATTAAAAATGTGATTGGTTCTAATAACTAAAAGGTAGGAATTTGATTCCTTATAGCTGCAATATCTGGTAACATTCAGTAACATACCATTTAAATATCATAGTTAGCATTACCAGTTTTATCCAGTCATCTTAAACTACATCTCACTGGCATTACCAGCAAACTCTTTTCAAACAGCATCTGTTCATTCTGCTGTGTCCTCACCGTAACCGACTGGCAAGTAAATCCTCCAGGTGCAGTCACCGTTGCTAGGGTAGTTTCCTGGGAAACCAGGGCTGAGGATGGTGCCTTCCATCTCCTCTCTGATTCCCCCACACTGAGCTGAAAAGAAAAATGGCGAGGACATTGTTTGAAACATTCATTTGTAGAAAACACATGCTGTGGTATAAACCTGCTGAGCTCAAGGTTCAAGTACTTCTAAAGACCAATAAAAACAGCGGACAGCTGTTAGGCTATCATTAGAGAATAATACAAGGTGACCAACAGGCTATTTCCACTCCTTTTGATTGGTGGGAATATACGTATATATTTATGGCAGATGACTGAAAGTGAAAATTGCTGTCACTGACCTGCAAATGAACTTGTCTTTTTTTGGTGAGCCAGCATGGCTTTTTATAGTTGCTAAATATAGTGGGATCCAAAAGTCTAAGAGCACACCGAAAGTCTGGGACACAAAATCTAATTTGTATACAAAATGTAATAAGAGATATACATGGCATGGATTTTAAATATGTTAAACGGAGAAACGTTTATTATGTCTGTAACATTATATATTTGTCATATATAACATACACACACACATATATATATATATATA